CGACGCGCGCGCATTTCGGTGGTGGGGGGGCGTGAAAACCCGCGCTTAGTCAGCTCTAAACTGACGCCGGGGCGTCAGTGTATTGGGACCCCCCTTGAAGATATTCTCTTACGTCAGCGATGGGCCCGACGGAAATCCCAACACAACTGTTGTCGATGAAGAAAGCGTTACGTTTGCAATCCATGATCCGTTAGCCTTCAAGTGCCTTAGGTGTCTTCAGTATTCCATCATGATTGATTTCGTCAAGTGGTATATACCTCGACTTGTTGCTGGGTTTTTGCTCGTGACCTTTTTCTGGTTGGCAAATCGAGAACCCTCTCCTGTTACTGGTCGACAGCAATTCATACCCAGAATATTCAGCATCTTTGTCCGGGAAGAGAGTTACGACAAACTTCTCGCGAAATGGCCAGCATGATTTATTACCGCCAGATTCTACTGAAGTGATGGAGGTGAAGGAAACTTTCCAACGTCTCACTGTTGTTAACGGACAAGCGAGTACAGACTGGAAAGTTCTAGTGATAGACCACAAGCGCAGTCCCGGTACGTGACGTTGTGAAGCCCTTCATAATTTCCACTGGGATATTGGACTAACTGTAAATTTTAGAACTAGGAAGGAGCTACATAATTCGAGATGGATTGGTAGCACTCAACAAGAGTGTGCTGGCAGGGTCTAAAGACACAAACGATCTTGCGGTTTTTCTCAGCCGACAAATGGCCCATGTTATCGCCAATCATGAGGCCGAAATGAGAAGTTTAAGATACCTAATAGACTTTAACATGATACTGGTCATGTTTCTGCCTGTCCGCTACGTTTGGATCTTACCTGTCGGAGGAGTCCGCGCTGTATTGAACGCCTGAAGGTTTGTCTTGGAGCCTGACAGGGTCGTATTGTTAGCAGGCTTTCTTCTATGTTCATATTACGAGCGCCACAGCATTATGAATAAAGAAAAGCTTCAAGATAGAGAGGCAGATGATCTTGGTTTAAAAATGATGGTGGAAGCCGGATATGAGATCACGGCCGCGGAGTATGAAGTTCTAGGAGACCCATTCCGCCGAATTAGACCAGGTTATATACCAGATGCTGATGCAAAATTAGCTGTAAGACAAGGAAATATATAGGATAGGATTGATCTGATTGTGGACGTTATAGAATTCAAGTTTCAGAAATTCTCAACTCTCAACACCAAAAAATCTGCGCTGTCGATAGGTACACTCGGAATGCAGCTAGAATGAACAAAGCACTCCTCTCTATCAAGACACTGCTACCAGTCCCAGGTCCTTCTTTCTCTGACCACCGTCCTCTTCATGGAGTGAGATTTGCATCAAAATGATTGAACACTATTACCCAGTGTTGCCAATTAGTTATCCATCAAGATTAGGGTATAACATACCATACCAATAATCCAGAGGTTATAACCAAACTAAACCGTCCTTATTGGTGGTTATCCAATGATTAGAATGGTTATCCAATAGCATAATGGTAACCGTCGGTTACTAGTGGTAACCGTGATTTTGCAAGGTTGTAATTTAAAAAAGAAGCTATTTACTATATATTACACTTCCGATTCCTACAATCTAAACCTCTCCTTCCTTTACTGTACCGTGCTCAAATAATCAAAGTAATTACCTAATATAATATAAGAATTAGTAGTATTAATAGTAGTGGTTAGATAATATAAGTTAGATAAATAATATGGATAGGAATGTCAGAATAGTATCAAATCTATCACGTGTATAATAACTAAGCAAGATAACTAAACAAAACACCAAAACCATGAAGAACCATTGGTAAACTGGTTATCATATATATCTATAACCAAACCGTATAAATTAACGGTAAGCTAGAAATTATATCACCAAACCACTAAATACGGTTTGGTTATGGTAACCAACCAATAAGTAACCAACCATGGGCAACACTGCTATTAACCAAGCATTACTCGTACAACTTCCCAAACCACTTATTTCCCCTCCCTGGTTCTTTCTCCCCCCTTGGCTTCCTTCCTCTGAACTTCAATCAAACTCTTCTCTGCGATGTCTGAACCAGAAGCTCAAATTCCAGTACGTTCTAAGAGGCCTAGAGGTAATATTTAAGATTTAGAGGGATTTAGCTCTACCAAATGTTTTACCAACAACTTGTGTGCGACAAGCCCGCATAAAAAGGCTACTTTCAAACCAGCAGCGATCGGCAAAAGGAACGAGTTTCATGGAGTTCCATAGATTCCATTCTATCTGGAATCCTTCTAGGGCTTATATAAAATAGAAAGATTCCTTCTATTAGTAGGCTCTAGAATAGAATATGGAATCCATAGAATTCCAGACTAGTTAAAACACGTGATTATAGGAGCTATATAGCCCTAGAGAGTTAAGTAAATAGCTTGGTAGATAGGTATAATAGAACCTAATACGTTCCTTTATAATTAGCTCTAGAAGTATTTGCGATACTCGTACCCTATTTAGTATATAGACATTTAGGGTGACATTCACGTGATATGACTTGGTATCTGACGTCGGGTGGACTGCCTATGTTTAATATAAATACGGCCCTGGAGACTTCCTATTGGTCGGCGGAGCGGGAGTACATTTCGCCGGGTTATGTGATAAATTCTAGCTGGAATTCCAGTTAATTCCATAGAACAAGAGGGTCTGGAATAGAATAATTCCATTAGTTTATTAAAAGGAATAGAATTATTCCAGATACCCCCCCTAGAATGGAAAGGAATTCCAGATGCCGAACGCTGCAAACCAGAAGTAAATTGTTGTATGTTGCTTGAACTTAGAGCTTTATAGAGGCTTCCACCGCCCCCCTTCGACTCTCTTACACCCTCGAACACCACCTGTAGGTACACAGCTGTTCCCTTCCCGGGCTTCCCCCTACTTGTAAGTCCTTAGTCTTTCCTCTCTCCCTGTCTAGGTATGTAGAAATATCTTAATACAATCGATAGATAAAAAACAAGTAAATAAGTAAACAAAGGTATACGAACATAACATCCACCAACCAACAAATTCGCACAACACCAAGATTTTACACCCCTATCGCCGACACATCTCCACCCTAATGCGCGACGACCTTTTCATCCCCTATCTATCAGAACACCACAAAAGACAACCCCCAACTCCCGACGCCCCCACCCTAGTAGTCAAAAAACCCTCTATCTTCATCTCAACACCCATAGTGCTTAAAACATCACTACCTTCCGCTGCCATTAACTCAAGTAGGCAGTACATCTAGCACTATCATCACACAACACCCCCATATCCTTTTACCCATGTCCTTTCCTCATCATAGATTACCTTACATTTAATAAAACACCACAAAACAAACCCCGCCTTCCAGCCACTCCCCCATTCTAGAAAAAAAGCCCTCCATCTTCATCTAACTCCCACGAAGCCTAGTCCGTCACTATACATCCCGCCGCCATTAAATTGCGCAGCACATCTAGAACCATCAACACAACACCCTCGATCCATATCCTTTTCCCACATCCTCTCCTCATTACATTACAAATCCCCTTAATTCCTCACAACCACAACCACAACCACCTCCTTCCCTAAACCCCTACCCCACCTTTCCAATTTCCAAAACATTTCCCACGGCATTATAGTACAGTTAGTATCCCATCTCCAAAGTCCCAAAGTCCCAAACAATACATCAGCACTCCCTTGTGCATTCCCCGTAATTTAGTTTCGTAAAAGACTTATTACGTAAGTTATAGAATCCAAAACAAAGCAAACAAATCAAACCCTAACCCACCACCACATCTCCATCCCTAAAGTTCTAAACAACACATCCTTACCCTTCCCGTCCATTCCCCATAATTTAATCCCATAAAACAACATACCTAGGTATATAAACACTCCAAAACAAAGCAAATCTAACAAATTGAACCCTAATCCTAACCTACCACCACATCTCCATCTTCAAACAATATCTCAACACTTACTCATCCCTCCCTTCCTCCCTCCCTTCCTTCCTTCCCCCCACACCCACAAAAAAACAAAAAAACAACAAGCCAAGCCAAGCCAGGAGACTATTCATTTTATTCCACGTAAAAAGGGTTCGTATACCCTATTTTTTTCTCTACGAATGCCAAATAGGGAGGGTGGTGGGAGGAGGGGTTGTTCAAATAGTTTAAGATTTATTTACGATACGGTACTTCCTAGGAGCGTTGGGGTATTACCTAGTGTTGATGTACTCGTATTACTCGTACGAGTACTCGTAAGGAACATGCGGGATTAAGCGAGGGGAGGAGAGGAATTTATCTTATGACTCAGACTACAAGTACCGACCCTCTACTTCACCTCCCACTTCCTCTTAAACAACCCACCTCCTCCCTCCGTCCTTCTCTCCCTCTTTCACTCCCCCTCACTTCCCTGCCTCCTTCTTCCGTCAGACCTTACGCATACCATATCACTTCAAGGAAAAACTTCAGGCCAAAATAATATGATACCCCAAAAAAATGCAGAAGATTCTATTTTATATATCCATCCGGCCTTAACGCAACAGACATGCATCTATGCACCCATTCCTCATCTCTCATCCATCGTCCCTCATCCCAAGACCAAGACCAAGACCAAGTCCACATCCACATCCCGTCCGATTCCAAGGCCAAAAGTCCAGTACCCACCCATCCTCCAACTTGTTAATACAACCCTAAACCCAAAATTCCAGAATCGAAGAAGAAAGAAACACACAGAAAGAACTCCATTCCAGAAGACAAGAAAAATGCCCGTCCAATCCAGCACTTGGGTCAGAGGAACGAGCATCAACGAAGAACAGAGAGAGAGAGATAAGAGGTCGGAAAAACCCCCAGATTCATATCATGCATCATGAACTCCCACTAGGTCCCCCATTCCCCCCATGCGGTCCCTTGCCCCCATCCAGAAGTAATTTAGGCTTAATAAAACCCTCATCCAACTGTTTAAACCACGCCGCATGATCTTCAGCCGTGCCATGCAAAAGCGACGATATAGCGCCAGACGCAGAAATATGTGGACCGTCATTATGTGATGCACTTCCGGAAGTAGGGTAAGGAGTAGTATTCTCCTCTGGTTTGGGTCTGGGTGACCTCTTGACCGCGGGTGGGAGATCAGAAGTATCGCTTTCGGCATCGGAATCATCCGTAATGTTCGCTCGGAGGAGTTCTTGCTCACTCTCATGCTCGTTTCTTCGATTCTGTGAGGGCTTTCGGCTTACGCTTCCTGTTCTTCCGGATGGACTTAGATTTCCACTGACATAACTTCCCCTATCCCCCCTATTTCCATGGCCATTCATGCCTTGTAGAGCGACTGACCCACGTTTTGGAGCGTGGCCGATACCCGTTCCAGAGTTCTTGTAGTAAGAACCTCCTGGATGTGATTCGATATCGAATTCGTCATCACTGTCAATCTCTTCAACCACACCCGTTTTAATTCCCATAATCTCCAGCATTCGAGCGGTAGTTCCCCCGAAAATAATCACTGTCAACACCACAACAACCAAAACAGTTGCTTTCAAGGCCCATGAATTTGGCCCGGTCATTCCTGCTGCTAGAGCCACACCAACAGCTCCACGTAATCCAGCCCAAAACAACATGGCTTGGTAACTGTAAGGTAGCTCATCTGGAACATCTCCCTTACCCTTGCGCCTCGCTCGATATCTGATGAACCAATTGATAGCCCTTGAAAGCGGAAATACAGCTGCATACCGAGCAACGCAAATTCCGACGACAGTGATAATAATGAACAGAGGTTTGAACTCGAGTTTAGATTCGGTAAAGAGAGAAAGCCCTAGGTAAATGAAAATGAAATTTTCGGATAATTGCGCCAATACCTGGAAAAGGTATTTCGTGGTAAGTTGAGTTCGTCGCGACATGTTGTAGTAAGCGTAATGTTTCAAAGTGATTCCACAGAACAAAAGTGTGACGATTCCTACATAATTAGTATGGTTTATCTTCATCAATCTTGAAAAACTGCCAACGTACCGGACATATGCAAGCCATTTGAAAAAAAGTAACTGGCATACGCAATCAAAACGATCAAACAACTCTCAATTTTCGGGAATCGCCTAACGTAGGTGTATTTCAACACCAAAGCTGTTCCAATACCCACCGCAACACCAATCAACAGACTACCGAAGAACACAGCCAAGAAAATGCCGATACCTTCTAGAAGACTGACGAATCCTAGAGTACCTGCGGCTCCCCCTTCTTTATACCGTTGCGCAGTTTCGAACAGGACAATAGCGACTGCATCGTTTAGGATTGATTCGCCAAAAATCACAGTATATAACTTTGGATCAACCTTGTAGGTATTGAAAATAGCGAGAATAGTGACTGGATCGGTGGCTGAAAGAGTGGCTCCTACCGAGATGGCATCGACGAATGTCATATCAAAACCATCAATGGGAATTCGAGTGTACAGCCAGAGGATTATTCCCAACACAATGGCAGATATGAATGTACCGGCGAAAGCGAACGTCAGAATCGTCCCGATGTTTCGAAAGAAATTGGCTTGATGCAGTTCGTAACCGGATGCTAGAATAATGGGAGGAAGCAATAGATTGAAGAATATCTGGTAGTCGAAGCTGACCAGATTTTGAATCGAGTCCCCATTGCTAACTCGAAGGATCAGGCCAACCGTCATTCCTATATGACGTTAATTAGAGTTCTCGAAAATGACGCGCATGTTGTACCAGCAAAAATGGATATGACTGTTTCGTGTACTGCTTCTACCTTCTTCTGCTGAAGCATGTAACTGGTGAAAAGCGCTGTTATGAGCAGCATTATCATGATGAAGAGGGCCCATGATGAGAAGATCTCTCTCTGGGAGGTATCGGGACCTATGCGCGCATCAGCCTTGTGTCCTTCCAACGGATCCGTGCAGCTATCGTACCCTCGCCTTCTGTTTCGTCATCCTCTCGTTCTGTAAGATGAAAATGTTAGCATCTGCTAATGGTAGTAGGATTCGCGCAAGTTGAGCTGGGCGCATACTGAGAAGCTGGAGGGCCACGTTGGTGATAAATTCGGACATTTTGGCGGACCACACGAGCGTAGCGTCTCAGCGGACGTTGCTGGAGAATAGAGTAATGTCGTGGCTCAACGACGAGCAGCGGCCCAAGAAGTGAGGATACATGTACTTGTAGCGCTGGAGAGTGGGAGATGGAGAATCGAGGAAAATGTCAATGTTCCTCTCGGTATTTTCACTACGTGTAGTAGTAGTGAAGCTGGCGTTGGAGGTTACGGTGGTAGTCACTAGCAGTAGCTCAGGATGCTTTTTGCGACAGCCGTCCTATTGGGGCACAGTTCAGGATTCCAGGGCCAGGGGGAGGCTTGTCGGCTTGTGAGGTCTGGGCGAGTTAAATTTACATCCATATGTACGCCAAAACTGAGACTAGGTAGGTACTTGCTTAATTACCACGTTCTAAATGGTACCTGCGTAATTACTCCTTATGATATTTTAAGAAACCAATATCAATTGTTTGCAAAGACCTTGGGGACTTGGGGGAAATCTCAGAATGATGCCAATGATTATTTGCGCAAGAGGGTCACAAGAGCCAAAGTCTCGGTTCTTCGCGGCACGCACACGCACACTCCTGATCCGTTTTTGCATGAAGAAAGCGCCACTGCTGTATCAGCTTCTGTTTACTCAAGTACTCGGAATTTATTTGACAACTGGAAGAATCTTCTCTACCTACCTAGGCATAGACTCTTGACGCTTTTTGTTTGATTTCATATACAAATATTACTCAACAAAGACACGACAGAACTTTGGGGTATTTCTATGATGCGATTGCAATCACCAGAATGATGGTGCTGCTTTCTTCACGCAAGGTTCGAATAGTGCCTCGCGTACTCCGTAGGCTGGGCTGGTACAGTACGTCACACCCAATGATTATCGCGAGTGCCTGTACTTGAGCACAACGATAACAGGTACGAGCGAGAGCTACCTTGGAACTCTGTGCTTCGTACAACATTCATAACTCATAGCCCATAGAGCTGTCTTGATGTCTCGCTCTTTCCTTCTGCCTTGCCTCTTGCACAGAGGAATAGTCTGAAGGCATCTGCCCTTGCCTCCAAATCAAACCTAGATTTACGGTTACTGCCGACTCTCAAGAACTCCTCCCGTCCACGAGATCCTTGAAGGGCCCTGCTGACGACCTCTGCGAATCGTGTATCGTGTTCATCTCCCGCGTGAATCCACCCCCGGATTTCCACAGCCCCGTGATGGATTTCTTCTCGTGAATCCGAAAGGAACTCCCAAGAGTTTTTGAAAACACTCAACACCGATTGCTCGAGACGGCTTGATACATTAGAGTTGCGTTGTACTTCCGTTCGTGCCGAGTACTCCTCCCTCACTCACTACCCGAAATCCAACCGACACACGACCTCGCTCACGGCTGTAGACGTAGGCATTTGGGAAGGAAGAAACACCAGGGATTTGAAGGTTGGCAGGCAGAAATAGGTCGCTCAGCCGAAAAGGAAGAGTGCAAAACTCAGAATGGGGGGAGAAGAAAGTTCCCCTTCCCGGGGCAGGGACCCTGAAGACGAACCACCTCCAAATATAGACACGGCGAGAAACCCTTCTGTAGAACGAGCCTCGAAACCACTGAACGAGGAGTCGCCCTTACTATCGCCCGCCGGACCAGGAGGAGAAGAAGAAGAAGAAGAAGAAGAAGGACTGATTGAAGGAAGAGAGCTTCTCTCCGAGGATACCCACGATGCATACCACGAAACCAAAAACACATGGTACATGATACTTTTGACGGTTAGTCTGGGAGGGCTACAACTGGCATGGGCAGTAGAATTGTCAAATGGAACACCATATTTACTGGCTCTCGGATTGAGTAAATCCTTGATGGCCTTGGTTTGGATTGCTGGGCCGCTTTCTGGGACACTGGTTCAACCATACGTGGGAATGTTGAGTGACAACTGCCGGTCACGATGGGGGAAACGAGTTCCTTTTATGATTTGGGGAACGGCTGCAACTATCTTTTCGTTATTGGCACTTGCTTGGGTGAGGGAGACTGTCGGCGGATTTCTCAGTCTGTTTGGTGCGGATCGTGAGTCCCAAGGTGTGAAAGTCACAATAATCGTGGTAGCTGTGTTATGGATTTACATACTGGATATTGCCATTAATACGGTTCAAGCCGGAATTCGAGCCTTCATTTTAGACTGCGCACCAAGTCACCAACAAGGTAAGTAGTCTCATCATATCTATAAGTTTCCTTGCTAACGGGATTTCAGAAACTGCCAACTCCATGGCAAGTCGAGTTGTGGGAGTTGGAAATATCATTGGTTATGTTGCCGGATACGTCGACTTACCAAAGTACATGTGGCTCTTTGGAAATACCCAATTCAAGGTCCTCGCTGTCATCGCATGTATCTCTCTCAGTACCACAGTCGCTCTCAGTGTGTCTACAATCAAAGAGCGAGACCCAAGACTGGAAACAAAAGCTGCTAAAGGAAGCCCAAGTTTATTACGCTTCTTTAAGACCGTTTTCAAATCGATTCGTCGCTTACCACCTCAAACCCGAAAGGTTTGTGAGGTCCAATTCTTCGCCTGGATTGGATTCTTTCCCCAACTCTTCTACTCCAGCTCTTACATTGGCGACATTTATGTCCAACCCGCACTAGAAGCCAATCCACACATGACCCCCAAAGAAATTGATGACCTCTACGAAAAGGCAACCCGAGTAGGCACATTCGCCCTTTTAATCTACGCCATCACCTCTCTCACTACCAACGTTCTCCTCCCCTTTTTCATCGCCAGGACCTACGACAACCCCTCCTCAACCCTCTCCCAACGCTCCCAAAAATCCTACTCAACTCGTCTCGATCGTCTTCTCGACAGACTTGTGATCCCCTGGCTAACCCTTCGTCGCGCCTGGCTCATCTCACACTGTATCTTTGCAGCCTGCATGTTCTCAACCCTCATCGTGACATCCATCGGCGCAGCAACAACTCTCATCGGCATCGTCGGTATCTCCTGGGCTCTCACCCTCTGGGCCCCATTCGCCATCATCAGTGCGGAGGTCAGTAAACGCGATGCCCTCCGTCGTTCACGACAACACCAACTCTCCTCCGCCACAGATGAAGAAGACCAAGCAGGAGTCATTCTTGGAATCCACAACATGAGTATTGCCGCACCACAAATCCTGGCTACGATTGGGAGTAGTATCATTTTCAAATTCCTGCAGAAACCCAGAGGCACGCCGGGCGACAGGAGTATCTCTGTTGTCCTTGCTGCTGGGGGAATCAGTACGTTGATCGCGGCATTCTTGACGAGTCGGATTAAAGACGAGGTTGAGATCCCGGCTGAGGGCGTGGTGGAAGAAGCGAGGGGTGAGGAGAGTGGGAGGATGCTGGAGAGGAGGAGTGGGAGTATTGGGGGTTTGGAATATTGATTTCCCCCCCTTTTTTTGCCTTTATGCTTTATTTTTGAGGGATTTTTGGGGGGGGGAAAGTATTGTATGGTATGGTAGAGTGTTGTATTCCTCTTTGGACCTTTCCTATATCATGAAGATTCTTGGAGTGTATCCTTAGGTACCCACCCTTGGGAATTCGAGGCCTGCCCTTTGTCGTAGAGAAGGTGGGGTCGGGACAAGAAGAAGAGATGAAATGGGATGATTTAGACATTATTATGGTGTATCCTACTTACACTTACACTTACCCACTATGAATCCTCGTGTCCTGTCTGTGTCCAGTAGTTCTTCTATCAAATGTAGATTATATTATGTAAAGATTTTGTGAGGGAAGGCTTAAGTAATCCCTTTAGGCAGTACCGTAGCTGCGGCGTCGCAAGACTCAAGACTTCCTCAGATAGATGGGTGGGTAGGTGGGTAATAGCGTGGATTCAGGGACCAAGGTGTTTCACCGTGCGTTTGCATTTGATTTGATTTTGTGCTTGTGCTTGTGTTTGTATGATGTGATGTGTGGTTGTTGTTGTTGTTGTTTTCTATACTACTTACATGTATGATGAGGCTATGACCGCCAGAACCAATAGACTCCATAGCTTGGACATGAATAATGATCTTAGAGTGTTGAGTTGGGATTGGGGTTGGTATCTAATCTAGGTAGCTTTACTGTAAGAACTGTATGTTCTAAGTCTAACTTTAACTCTAACTCTAGGTGACTCAGGATTCGTGGTGTAGGAGGGTAAGGTATGGTATGGTATGTCATGGTGTAGTCTAGTATTCATTACTAGTTTATCACTATCTATTTACTATTTCATCCTACTACTTCCTTCCCAAGTGTCCTTACAACATCCAAATCCAAATCCAAATCCAAATACTACAAGTATCCATGTCTACACTCTGGGGTTGAGTAGAAGACATGTCACATCTCCTTGACCCAATCCACAAGCCCCACCGCATAGGCCATATACTCACGCAAGATATCAGTTCAAGAAGGCGTTGGAAATATCAAGATTAGTTCATAACATAAAGGGCACAATTCTTCTACAAAATGTACTTTGACAGAGGAGGGAATTAACGAAATGTTTGCTTACTGGTGGTTACTGGCAGCATGCCTTCAATTTACTTAAAACTGTGAGCTCCTGACGTGGTATGAATGAGCAGTGTCCTCATCATCCATTGCGCATTGCTTCTATCCAGCGGAATGATATCGTGGCAAATCCAGATCCAGTCATTATTGGGGGGTAGATGGGGATATTCAGCTCGCGAGGTGGCTTGGTCAATAAAGGCCAGATTGGGTGGGCATGATTAGATAAATTTAGAAGTAGCCTAGTAAAAGTTAGCAGTTATAGGCCAAAAATAGTCAACATGAAGAGGCAAACTTTGATACTAATGTTTTCTTTCTTTCTTTCTCTCTCGCTCTGTTTGTTGTTGACTATATTACCTGAAACCCTGTAATAGGGTAAATCCAACATTGGTAAAGGGTACTCCCCTAAGTCCAGGAATGCGGACAAGCTGCCTGGGGGTATCGATTTAGCAATTAGTTCATGCGTGCAAGAACGCCAAATCGAAATCCCAGCATTTCACAAAGTATGCAGACATGGTTATACCTCCCTCATACCTCCCTTTCCTCACCGTAATATGTTCCTTCTTCTATTTCTTCAAGTTCAACCAGGGCCTTGGCCTCCCCATCCATCCAGACACTATCCTCAATATCCATCAAGATCTTACCCAAGGTCTCTGAATTGTCAATTTGGATTGAACCTTCTGGACCTATGATACTGATACGCTTCAGCTTTAAAAGATCCGGAACCAGGCTTCGCAGCCTTTCAACGAAAGGTGAGAATTCCGTGGGAATTGCGATAGAGAGATTCGCATCTGATCGGACCTGTTGGCCGCACCAAAAGAAATTGGTATGCAACTTGATGTTGGTCTTGTAGTCAGTGGCTCCTGTAGACAAACCTATAATTGCCTCTGTCGCTGAAGAATATCTTTGCGAGGTAGAAGATGAAGTTAACCCCGTTTCACTTTCTTCGCTCGTACTACCTGAAGTTGATGTAGGTGGACTACGTTCGGGGCTGTAATTGTATTGACACTGCTCCATGTTCGCATTCCCTGCAAGCGGGTGCTGGATCTGGAAAGACATGGCTGAAAGCTCTGGGAGTTCATCGTATTGTCGTTTTTGGTTTCCTTCATGAAATGATGGCGTCAATGATGTATTCGAAATGTTCGGCGTATTGCGAATCGATGATGTGTACGAATTAGGCAGCGTGCCAGACATTGCGGTCAGTGGCGTGTTTGGAGTGTACGGTGTACTAGGAATAGATGATGTGACCGAATCAGGCGGCGAGTCCGGCATTGGGGAATCATAAATGTTGAGGTTTCCATCCGCCGTTTTCCTGCGCTTGGCTCTGCTACCAGACGTGCTATCACGTTTACGTTTCTGTGCAGCGTAGAGTCGCTGGCGTTCATTGCTGACTATCCGTCGTAGTAGAGGTACGGTTAATTTGACAATACTGATAAAAATCAGTGAGAAATTCCGAATCGGAAGAACAGAGGCACCTTGACCAGATGATACAAAGGAAAACCGCGGAAATGACTGAAGAGTGATAGGAAAACAATGAGGCTTACATTCTTCTGTTCAGCGGCCACTGTAGAAACCCTTCATGAACCTCCGCCCCTATGCCCCAACACTTCTCCCCCCAACCCTGCTCGAGAAATTCTTCACAGCAGCTTGAAAGCATACCAGAGACATCGGTAGTGCGCGCATTGCGACCGACAAATTCCCGGCGTTCAGGATGTTTATCGTCCAACATGTAGCTTTTAGCAGCAGCTAGAAGAGTTAGATATAAAGGGCCGCTAATTTGCAGTGAACTGAAGTCTTTGGCCACAGCGTTCCCTACGTTCAATTTTAGCAGGATTCTTGATAAGGCAATGGGATAGCTTACTTTCTGTAGACTTCCGATATAGAGGCACAGCGGACTGTACACCCAATCTTCTGGCCACGGCGATGGCATTATCCGGCGGACTACATACCATCGCACGGGTATAATTGTTCTGAGTTTCGGAGCCATTTCTTTGATCATCGTCGTTACATTCGCCTAAGTTCCGCGGAGATGTTGTTATTCGTTTTGGCGACCCCAAGCTGTGATGCTCCCCTTGAGTTGCTTTCCGCTTCCTTGAGTTCAAAATGGAGCCTTTCGTGGTTGGCTTTGGGTCCAAGTTGCAAGGCGAATGTGGGAAGCTCTTGAAAAAAAAGTCTGAGGGGTCTGTAGTTTGGTTTGCGCAAGCCACCTGAAGGGGATTTTGTGCTGTGTCACGCTCTTCCTCATCTGGTTGTCGCTCTCCCTCAGAGTCGTGTTCTACCTCTCTTAGGCCATGTTCTCCGTTTTTTGAGCCATCCTTTACGGAGACATGCTCCCCCTCTAATGAACCATGTGTTGCCTCTACGGCGTCATGTACTTCCCCTCCTGTCGCAAGTAAAGAGTCTAGATATCCAAGGTCACAGGCATTATCGTCGTAGCTGAAGTTGTTGAGTTGTTCGAGAACAGCAGGGTCATAGTCCAAGTCGCTGAAAAGACCAGAGCCGGGTATTATAAAGCCTGTTGAATTGTAAGTATCGAACAACACAGAACACCTGTCGGGGTCGGTCCCGCATAAGTGATTTACCATTCGATTGCCCATAAACTTGAATGTCAGAATCGAGGTTTTCAAGGCAGTCTTGGTCGTCGAGGGACAAGATAAAGTCGTCTATAGAAGAATTCGGCGTATGCATCTTTGCCGCCTGCGAGGCTACAACAACCTACATTGCCATGTGCAAAACGAAGCAAAAAAAATTTGAAAGACGCAGGGTTCTTGATGGGGATGCTAAGGTTCATGAAAGGCGGGGTTGGGGGCATGGGGGTATGGCCACATATTGGATTGGCGGCGTGTTGTACGAGTAGGCAACGGCGATCAAGTGCAGGTGAATCTACTCTATTGACACTCCTGTATATATTTAAACACACCCTCCGCGACTGCCGAAACTCAGCAGCCAAAGCGACATCATTCACGCCCGCCATTAACTGGACCTCTACCGGGACCTGGACCTTGACATTCCCATACAAATCATGCAAGATCATTGTGTCTGTCTTGGATAAGGAACGAAACCGGTACTCAACATCAACACCAGATGCCATACTCAACTGTGCAAATATCACCATGCCCACTCCCGTCGGTTCCATCTTGTTCTCCGCTGGGGCATTGCTGATTATTGCTCTCGGGGTCCTCCTGATCCTGCGCCATTACCTCCCCTTACGAACAACACCGGCATACCTCACGGTACCTATCTTTTTTGCCCTGGGACTGCCAGCGAGCATCGTACTGTTGGTGCCCATCGACCTTGCCTCCAGTTCTAGAGGTCACGATAGTGGCAGTCGAGGAATATGGCTTCCAAATGCGGTGCTGTTAGTTTCATGGCGCATAAGCTACTGGCTTACTTTTGCTCTCACATGGTAGGGATATTATTCCTATGTCGGGAAGAAAGCTAACGGGTGGAACTACAGGTTTATCTTGCCCGTACTTGAAGAATATGCCGATGCCGGATATCGAGAGCCCAAAAGCAGGCTCATCTACTCCCTCCGCGCCAATGCCCAATACCAGGCGATTGTTTTGGGAACGGGGTTGCTCGGGATGATATACTTCTTTATATCCTCAGGCGCATCATTGTCGTCGCTGAAAGGCTTAATAATGGCACTCGCGTACTGCTATTCCTTGATATTTTCAATTATGCTTATGGGTCATGGTTTGGTCGCAATTCCACGAAGCCTTTTCCGAAGTGCCAATATCAGCGGAAGACTGAGACGTATTCAGGCCAAGGCTGCCAAAATACATGAGAAGATGGAAGCGGCAATTGACAACCTGGAAGATCTCGAGGCGCAAGTTGCTGCACTCTCTCTACGAAAGACTGGCTCCGCCAAACTATTCAGTGATTGGATAGAGGAGTTAGCAGAAGAATCGCATTTCTCCGATTCACGACCACGCACCTTGACTCGAAGGATGTCTACTCCGAGTGTTACCATACCCAGTGTTATTACAGAGCGGTATCTAGCAGACCTAAGCCGGCAGCTTGATAGAGCAAGACATAGCCGTGCGAGATACCTTGACGAGTGGGATCGTATATTACAGTCTTCGACAGAAACGCGTGCGGTTTTAGACTCGGCTGCGTCAAAGCGCATTGAATTAGGCGAAGCCTCCCCTCACGATTCTTTTTTCGACCGCGTCACAATTCTCAACCCGTATACCCGATATATTTTTTCCTACTACTTCCTTCCATATTACAGCATTGGTCTCGGGGTCTTTCTTTCTTTGGCATCTTTTTGCATTATCTGGTCAGAAGTGATCAAATCAGTCAATCCTTTCTTTTCAATAATTGCCGTTACAGTTGTACACCATGCCAAAAACGAGAGGGGGCAGATTGGATTTGCTGGCCAGGTTATTTCGGCTTGTTGGATTCTTTACATGTGCTTTGCAGCCTTGGTCTCACTTACCGAAGTCAAAGTGTGGAGAGGAAGAGCGCTGGTAAGAAGAAATACGCATGGGGAAAGCGCTATGTGGTACGCTATGCAAGTTGCAAAACTTTCAGTGCCGTTGTCTTTTAACTTCATCACATTTCTCCTCCCCGACACGTACGAAAGAACGGTATTCTTCAAATTTCTTGGCAAATATGTCGAGTTAACGCCTCTCGGCACCTGGTTCAACCTGTTGTTTCCAACCTTCGTTTTGATACCGGTCTTTGCTACCCTGCTTGGCCTTTATGGAAAAGTCAAGAATTGCGTTGGCTTTGGAGGCGTCATAGAGGACGAGGACGAAGAAAATGAGAGTGGCTATGGAACTGGTTCATGGCGTGAAGGTAGGGACTTGATCGAACGAGAATTGCAAGGAGCCTCTTCGCTAGGCCGACTTGCAAACAACGAACGCCGATTACACGTTCCAGACAATCCGAATAATCGACCCGCGCTAATCCTCTCAGTGCCAGCTGCTGAAAGACGAGCTTTAGGGCAACCCTCGAGTAGCAGACCTGGAGCAAGCCAGTCATCCGAACCTGAAGAAGAGAACTTTTTTGAGGCCTTTGGACACCGATTCAAAAACACGATGGATACGGTCCAAACGCCGAAATGGCTTCAGAACGTCGGAGACGGCTTTAAACGACCGAAGTGGATGGGTGGTGACGCTGAAGAAGGGGAACCTTCTCAAAGTGGCGGCGATATATCGCGTTGGTTTGGTGGTTCTGGGAGCTCGGGGAGGGTACGATTGTAAATGTCACAAGTCTGAAGCATAGCGGGAGGAGTTTTTTTGTATTAGAATAGATATCTGGATTACCACAGGGGGTATGGAGTTAACTTTTTTGAGTACTAACAAATAGAAACATATCAACATTAACATGAGCGTTCTGATTCAAACCCAGCACGGATAATTCTTGGCCTCCAACGATCGATAGCTTCCAAGAGATCATCCCAAGGATCGTTTTTTAATATGCTTCCACCGCGCGAGTCTCTGAATTAATCGTTCTGCCTCTTTCGTACAGCTTGCCTATCACACTGTAGGGATCTGGTCGATATTTTCAGCCTCGCATTGCCTAGGACAATGTATGATTGGCGGCTGCTGTGCTGTACGAACCAGATCGTGACCGCCAGTGGTGCATCTCAGGATTGGTGGGTATGTCCTGCGAGTAGCCGGGGGAAGCGGGTGAGCCCCAGTTCTGGACTGTACTGCTTTGTGCCAATTGCTGTTTAATATTTGGGACCGAGGTCAGTCCACTATACCGTTGGTCGGTACGCGCGAAGGTCCCCTGATGGTTCCCCTAACGGTGGGGCGAGTGCAGGAAGGTTTACTTATGTGAATATTATGCTTGTTCTCTGCGCTTTCTCTTCTCCCTCTTCACTCTTTGCTTATTTCCTCTGTCTTCTTCGGGGTTTTTGTGATTTGGTTCTCTTACTAGCAATTGCTCCTTTACATTTTGTTGTGCGATTGAATACCGGGCGCATTTGGATGAGAGAATACACCTTGGAGAGTAATATGTAGTGGGCATCTCACCACTCTTGCATGCACGATGGACGATTATATGTTTAAGCAGAATGTGAATCGGTGTACCAATGTTCTCGAGTCAACGACGTATTTCGAGATCTTTTGTTACTCGGCAAGTTTCCCAATTGACACCCGGTAGTGGGCAGCTTACAATACTAATTCTTCGCTCCAGGACTCTCACTATGATACCGTCGAAGAACACCCATTAACACCCGATGAATTCGACAACTTCCTCCACCAACGTGTAAGTTCCCCCACCCCATCTATTTCATTCAACCTCCATCTAACAATACATCTAGGGAGCATTCGTACCCCATACCCGGGTCCCAGAAGACGTCACATGCACGGCTTCCCTGAGGCTGATGTGAGTTTGTCTCGTTTCCAGACTTCGGTTTTCGGGGTTAGGTGGTGAACTTGTCATTTTGCTGACATGGTCACACGAAAGACTTCAAAAAGATGCAGAGAACCCCGAGACTTTTTCGCCGCATGTTATTAGTCTGAAGCATCAGGAGTATATTTCTATGGTTAATGCTTTGCATCTTCCCTATCGGTCGATTGAGAGTACGAGTTGTGTTGGTCCGTTTTTTTGGGCGGCTTGGGATCAGGATGAGGTTGATCCGCATTTACGTAGGTTGCTTTTCTTCTAGTTTTGCAAGTACTTGGGGGTGCAACATTCATGGAAAGTATTGATGGGTTTAAATTTGACACTAGATAATGCTGTTTGCTATTTTGGGATGTCGACAAACCCCCTTATTTTGCTATTCTTGAAGCGTTGCTACCAGGATGTGGAAAACCTCCGGTTTTTCAAAATATCAACGCTAACGAGAGAAAATAGAAATAATTTACCGCAAATCCGACGTCAGGAAGAAAGGTTACACCCGGGGCTGGGAACTCACCTTATCCCACTCAGTAAACAATAGCATCACGACGGGCTTCTGCAAAGGAACACCCAGTTCTGACATCGTAGAATGCATCCGCCACCTCAAAGCCTGCAAAACCCAAATAGGCCACCCTATGCTACTACCCGCAATCATCTTCTCCCACGACTTTTCCTTCAAAACCGACATCAAACAACGCGCTGCACGTGACTGGCTTCGTCGTCTCGAGCACGCTGTAAGTATGCGAACTGACATCCTCGAAACTGAGGGATATGTAGAAGGCGGAGTAGTAGACCTCGATGCCGTCAATAGAGACTTGGTGGAGTGTCACAGCCAGGTTCTGTGGAAGCGACCGAAGGCTTATATTGATATTTTGGATGGGCTTGAAAAGGCGATGGTTCGCTTTTATGAGAAGTTGCCGGAGGAGAAAAAGAATAAGGTTATGAGACAGTTGCATTCTAGTATGATTTCTAGGATGGACTTTTATCGTGTCAAGCTACACGGTATTGAAAGTTACGCTCATACAACTCTCCAAAGGCTGGAGATTCAGAGGAGTGCGGTGGGTTGATCCGAGTCCCCGACCCCCTTTTTCTTTTCCTTAGCTAAGCGAGACTGATTTTGGGCACAGCTTTATAACATTATCGCGCAAAAGGAGTCCAAGTTGAACTTTCAGATGGCAGGCGAACAGAGGTATGAAGCTTCCCTAACATTTCCTAATTATATTTACTTTCCTCAACTCTAACCCCCTCCGTCCTCAGAAAACTCGCCCACGCAAGCAAACGCGATAGCGCAGCCATGAAAACCATCTCCCTCCTCGGCGCCATCTTTCTGCCCGGCGCCTACCTCGCAGCCGTCTTCAGCATGACATTCTTCGATTTCCATCCGGACCCCGATCAGCCCGTCATCTCGCAATCCTTCTGGATCTACTGGGCCTTCACCATCCCCATCACGTCCATGATCGTGGGCGGCTGGTGGTTCTGGGAGCGCAAAAGGGAGAAGAGATATGAAGATGAGGATCGCGATTTGGAACGGGGCAGTGATGTTATGGAGAAGGATATTATGGCGACGATGAGACGTAGGACGATGAGTAAGGCTAGTACTTGGGATAATCATGTTAGTAAGAGGGAGTAGTTGTGGTGAGTCAAAAAAGGGAAAAGTGGCTGGGTGGTGGTTGGGGGCTCTGGATGGGTGTTTCGGATATCCTTCCCCTTGTTACCATCTCCTCCGTGGCCGCAAAACGGGGAATATGAATGCTATCATGCGAGTACAACTTCGGGAATCATCCATATTCCTGGATCTCAAGTTCTACTCGCACAACAGCAATCTTTTCTTCCACCCTCTTCCCACCAATTTCCCATGTCATGGGTGACCTTCTTTCTTCGCATTTACTCAAGACACCATGTGGATACGATTGGAGTCGAGCAGAGTTGGTCTTTTACTTTATGTTGGTGTGCTTTTTTACGAGGCGATGATGTTTATGATTACGAGGTTATGAGATATGGAAAAGAGTGGCGGAGCTTTTGAGGTCCTTTTATACAGTAGTACGGTGGTATAGCTATAGATTCTAGGGTATATATTTTGGGCCTTCCATTGGACCGTTTGGTATGACATGTGTTTTTTTTTTGAATTTGTGAACTATAAATACAGCTTTTTGTTCATTTTTGGGTTGTTGTATCTATCGTTGGTTAGTATTGACAGCCAGTCATCTTACAACGAGGAGATATCAGATCTTTTGATAGGCCGACAGGATATATTTCTGGCACAATGATGAGAAGAGATCGTCTTGGATACACCCTCTATTCCATGGCCAGATACCAAACTTAAGCGAGATCCGTCCCGATGCTCAGGAGGCAGAACTACCGTGGCCACCTTCAGAGCCAGAACTTGCGGAAGGAAATGGAGAGACTTATGGTGGACCGATTCAAACAAGGGACCAGGAGGGAGGTCAGTCACCATCTTAGAGCTGAAATTTAGGGTATGTTATTATGCGTTAGATGTATGAGTATCAATTTCGTGTATTCTATTTAGTCGCACCATGCAACAATACCTTGGTTCTAGCTACAACAACTAGAACACTCTCCGCGGCGCTAACCCCCCGCCAATATCTCAAAGACTGTGATATCTGCCTTGAATTTACCCAGTAACCAGGCTCTCAGGTCGACAGCGAGAAGAGAATCTACTCTGTAGTTGTTCAAAGGTTTATTCGTATCGATTTCCTCAGCTCCTTTGGAGAACGAGAGAGACTTCGCAAGCTTAGTACACAGAGCCGAGGTTACAATGCTTGCTGCTAATGAAGGCGTAGATGCTGCAGCGAAAAGCGCGGACGGATCGGAGTTTTCCCCTGATTTTGAGTCTAAGGGAAGAGTCTCCGAAGATGGAGAAAGTGAGCAGGGGATTTGAGCCATACCCCGACAGAGCGGACGGCTCATCCAGATTCCTTTTTCGATTTCTTTTGTTTTCAAGTCGGCGGGGATCTCGACTCCGACTACCACTTCACAGGCGTCTCTTGTTTGTAGCGGCAGATTTGGGTCGCAATAATGTTCTAACACCGCGAGGACTTGTGGTAGGGTCAGTGGGGGATATATACTCGAAGATAGCCAGCAATCCATAAGGTGCTTGTTTTCCTCTAGTTTGAGCCATCCTGTGGTAGCTACAACTCCAAGGTCTATCGCGATTGACTTCTGGCGAAGATAGGAGTGCAAATTCCATGATTCAAGTATCTTCGGGGCTGTAGAGCGTATCCAATCATTGTGGGCCATCTTTGAAACAGAGAGTCCTGGATGGTGTAAGTTGCGAAATCTATAATATAAAAGAGAGGGAGGGAAGCTTACTTTAATGACCATAGAAGCCTGTATACATCCCAGTATCGGTGGCATACTAAGTGCGCACTCGGTTATGCAATCTTTAAGTGCTGAAGCATCTGTGATATCACAAGCTGGCGATACGACTCGAACGCTGTGGTTCTCAAGTTCTACCAATAACAACTGGGCTTCTCTTGTTGTGAGTCCAGATCTGAATAACAGAATGAGATTCATGGCACCGCGAAGAACCATCCAAGACGCCATACTCCGTCCAAGACCACCGAGGCCACCGGAAATAACGTGGGATGCATCGGCTGAGAAAAGGCGACTTGGATTGGACTTGAGTCTTACCTAGAGAAGAACGGTTAGCAAGACAATTGTAGAAGAGGATAAGACTGCCGCTAACCTGGACAATGTCATCGTCTCCCACTTCAGTAACCATCTTCCCAGTGGTATTTCCGCTTTTGATTGATCTGAATGCACTATCCACTTCCGAGATCCTATATCTAGTAACTGGAAGTGTCGTAGTCATTTTCCCCGCGGTGAACAATTCGAACACCTTATCTAGAATCTTGCCAACCACCACTAGACGTTGCGCAATCATTGCAGCATAATCAATAGCGCTAAATGTAACGTTCTTCGAGAATTGAAACATTGGAAGATTTTTATGCTTGCTGATGTCATTCTTTCCAATTTCCACCAAACGGCCGTATGCTTTGATGTATTCCCATGTAGCAATAAGGCCGTCTCCTGAAAGAGAATTGATGATAGCATAAACATCTTGATCATTTGTCATGCGCTTGATTCCTTCTGCAAAAGGCAAGTCCTATTTGTAGAATATGTGATCTTCAGGGATGCCAGCGCCAACTTCCAAGATATTCATCGAAGGGTTCTTATGTGCCAGAGAACCCAGATATTGACATACTTCTTTGTACCATTGGGCGCTTTCGTTAACATCGGCATAGAACTCCTGAGCCAAAGTGCCGTTGAAAAGTAATGCAAGCATATCAATATCGCCCCTGACAATATGCTCGAGTTTTGAAATGACTTCTGCATATAATTTACCCTGAGGATTTGTTCTTCGGATTCGCTCGACTACTGCATCAAATACAAAGGTGTTCTTGAGAATCTCCATGAATCGTTCTTTTTGATGATATGAAGCTCTTTCGTGGAATTGATCTAGCCCCTGCGTGCCCATTTCAAGTATGTTTGAAGATGAGGCTTCAGTACAGGAGTCTCAAGACGTGGCGAAGACAAAGTTTTCCATATGGCAAGATTCATCAAGAGAGTGATGTCGCCAAAAAAGTCAAATGGCTCATCCATCTTTCTTTGCTTCCTGAGACAAAAGTCTACGGCTTGATTGCCTGACAAGAGATTGGGACCTGCCCGCCATTTCATACCGCATACTAATTGCTTTGTAACTTGCGGTTGATCTGACATGGTATCTGCATATGCAATTGGAGTCATTTTAATGCCAGAAGCTTGAAAGAGAAGATTCCCAAGATTTCTGTCCAGCACGCACAGGTCACTTGTCGTATCTCTCTGGCCTTCGTAATTGGATGATGCCATCACGTTCACGTAATCGTCTTGAAAACTAAGCCCAGATGTAGATATCCACATTGAATCAACACGAGTCGGAATCATAGTATTAAGGCGCTTCTCACTACCAGCCATGAGTGCAGCAAAAACGAGTTGAAAAATGCTATCAAGTGTTGCGGGATGAATGGTATAGGGATCTAGGCTTTCCCAGAGATTATCCTTCTCACCTTCAAAGGTCGAACAGTGGGCCGTTGCAACATGTGAGCCATCCACCAGAATATTTGTAAGCCGTTAAAATGATGGTCCATACTGGTAGCCGGATTCCTGAAGCTTTTTGTAAAGCTCGTTTGAATCTAACGAGCTTTGGGGAGTGATCCGCGCTTTCTCAAAAAGCTGCTTGTGCTTCTGTAATTTTGCTTTTTGCTCTTTTTCGCCATCGATGTTAGTATCCTCAGTTCGTACGGCATTCCAATAGTATATTTCCTTGACAAATCTCAGTCCATTGTTCCTCAAAGACAGAGAGTCGAAATAGTCTTGTGGCAGAATAATTACGATCATCCCTATCTGATTTGAAGGATCAATTTTGGTAACTCACTTGATACCCGCATGCACGTGGAAAATTTCAAACCGACCTTGCTCAAGGGGACATCCGTGAAGATTTTATATATCTTAGCACACCACTATGATGTTTCGTGCCCCCAATCGGCATTCATCGTTGATTTTATCTTTCTTGGGCCGGATGCATACGGGAATAATCTCTTTTCGGGGTTAATCATGCACTTCGCAACAACTTTCTCATAAAGAAAGGTTACACATTTTCTGACCCCTGCCTGTATGGAAGGGGCGGCGAAGACAAAGTACCCGGCACTAACTGACCACCTATCAACAGCATAAGCGGAACCCCACAGGCAACCAACGAAACAGTCAGGGAATAGGCAATAGCCTGCAGGTAGTTTACTGAAGGCGGTGGATTTGGTCCCCTCCGTTATATTCTCCTAGACGGGTTTCAAGTAACATGTTAACATCTTTCTATACTCTATACTCTATAAACACAATTACTGTCAAGGGTCAATCATTAAAAGATCAAAGCAAACATGGCCCAAGAAGGCTCCAGCCACAATGTCTCACTTCCGAGTTACTACTCGAGTATCCTGGGAAAAAGGAGGTTCTTACCAACATTGTCGACTTCATGGCCAAAAAACATCCACAAGCTCTATTTGCCGAATTCCCCGTCTCACTCACATCTTACGATGCCGGTTTTCACAAGATCACTTATGAGAGTCTAGCCAATGCTGTCAACGCAGCAGCTTGGTGGCTTCATGAGATGCTTGGTGGACCAGGAAGCAATTTTGAAACGATTGGATACATGGGAGTCAACGATCCGCGCTACCACATCATGGTTCTGGCGGCTGTGAAAGCTGGATATAAGGTAAAGGCATTCTCAGGAGTAAGTCAATATATGACTAGAGAGGACCTAATTCTTCTCGCAGTTATTTCTGTCTTCTCCTCGCAACAGTAGTACAGCACACTATTATCTGTTCGACTCATTGGGCTGCGAAACGCTGATTGTAACCGATTCTATTTCACCTATGTTTGCAGGTGCTATTTCCTCACATGACCTGAATGTGTTGCAAGTTCCTGGTATACATGAACTTCTCGATGCGCAAACTCGTCCCTATCCGTACAATAAAACTTGGGAAGAAGCGAAAGACGACCCACTTCTGGCTCTCCGTAAGTAAACAGACAACTGATATTTGCAGTTACCACTTTCCCTTTGTTCGACCTAACACCCTGTTGACCACGATTCTCTTGTGAAATCCGACTATTTACGATACTATACCATTGGCTCTTACAAGTCACAGAGATAATATACTGATTCCCCATCTGTTAGATATATCTGGTTCTACTAGCATACCAAAAGCATTGACTTGGACCCACGACTTCGCAGCCGCGTATTACAATATGAGTCAGCTTGACCCTCCTGCTGAATATGAGAGTCAAAACAGGCTCTATCAGGATAACCGAATCATCTTCTTCTTCCCACCCTTTCATGTGAGTAGTTTTGTATCATCACAAAAGAGGCACAAGCTCGGCGTGGTATATGCAAGCTTCAGTGCACCGGCCAATAACCCAAAGTTTCGCAGCTAATACTTGTTTGCTAGGGCGCTGCTCTTTTTCTCGCATTAATTAATGGAATCGCCAACAGAAGCGTCTGGATATACCCCCCAGCAGCGGGTATACCATCAGCAAAACTTCTTGTTAACGGGCTCAAACATACGAAAGCTGATGTCCTCGCGATTCCCCCACCTGTAGTTGTAGATCTTGCAAGGCAACCTGACTTTGTCGAAGAGATCTCTTCAAAGATTGATACGATCATCTTTGGCGGAGGTGACGTTTCCGAGGCAATTGGCTCAGCTCTCAAAGACAAGTTCAAGATGGTGAGTGTTCTCGGGGCAACCGAGATAGGTCTTGCAGCCGCAATTCGACCAGCCGGAAAATTCCCGTCAGATGACTGGCAGTTTATCCACTTTTACCCAGAATTTGGAACAGAATTCAAGCACATCAACGAAGACTTGTATGAGTTACATTTCATCCGAAGACCAGAGATTTCCGAGCACCAGCCAATGTTTAAGCTTTTCCCGGAACTCCAAGAATACAACACACGAGATCTATTTACGCCACATCCTTCCAAGCCGGGCTTGTGGATTTACAGAGGAAGAAGTGATGATATCATCGTATTCTTAACAGGCGAAAAGACAAATCCAACCTCTTTTGAGCACCATGTTTCTACACACCCAGAAGTAAAAGCCGCCTTGGTAATCGGTACCCAACGATTCCAAGCCGGTCTTTTGATCGAGCTGGTTGAGGAAGGGGAGTTCTCTTCTACGCAGCGAGCGAAAATCATCGAGGGAATTTGGCCTAAAATACACGAAGCCAACCAAGTCTGTCCAAATCATGCCATAGTAGCGAAGACACATGTCCTCCTTGTGAACCCAAAGAAACCAATGGCACGTGCAGGCAAGGGCACAGTGCAGAGACAACTGACTTTATCAACGTACGCTGAGGAAATCGATGCACTCTATGCCGATACCGAGAAGATGAACGCTACCAGTGACGATGTCGAGAAACTTGATGGCCAGGCTACTGTTGAGAAGTTGAGTTTGTTGGTGGAAAAGTTGGTGAAGAAACAAACAGGTTGGGCTGACATCAATGCTCAAGATAACCTCTATCTCTTGGGTCTTGACTCACTTCAGACTTTGCTTCTGGTACGCGACCTAAAACAGGCTGTTGGACTGCCTGATCTTGCGCCCAGTTCTGTCTATACAAATCCATCAATCACCGAATTATCCAATGCCATCTTGAATTTATTGACTCAGAAAGAAGCATCAACCAAGGAGCTGTACGAGAACCGAAGATCAGAAATCGAAAGTTTGATTCCCAAGCATTCGAATGCAATAGATGAGCTTGCTAGCACAACCACCACAGACAAGAAGTCTTCCAATAGTGAAACCAGTCCAAATCACGTTGTTCTTCTCACTGGATCAACCGGCAGTTTAGGTACATACCTACTCCAGGCCCTCCTCAAGAACCTGACTGTATCGCATGTGTACTGCCTGAACAGGTCCTTAGACTCGTCATCAGTTCAGGCTGAACGAAACAAGTCTCGCGGTATAGAATTGGAATTTCCCGAGAACCGAGTCACCTTTTTGTGTGCGAAGCCCAGCGAAGAGAACTTTGGTCTTGACCCTCAAGTATATGACAAATTCTCCAATACGGTGACGGAAATCATATTGAATGGCTGGACGGTGAACTTCAACATACCTCTCTCCACCTTTAATCCACAACTCTCTGGTGTCGTCAATTTCTCAAATTTTGCCAGCCAAGCACGATATAAACCCTCGGTACTATTTATATCATCCATCAGTTCAGTCATAGAAGCAGGTGCAGTCATCCCAGAGGATGTGATTCGCAACCATTCGGCCCCGATTCCTATGGGTTATGGCGAAAGTAAATACATCGCTGAACTGTTCTGTTGCTCGATCACGTCGCTAAACGGCTTTTCGTGGATGCTAGAATTGCTCGTGTTGGACAGATCGCCGGTCCAGCTCACATTTCTGGGACATGGAACAGGTGGGAATGGCTTCCTAGCTTGGTCATAAGCTCGCTTCATGTCGGGACCTTACCTGATTCTCTAGGAAATAGCATGAGTACTATTGACTGGGTTCCGATTGATATTCTTGCGAAAGTTTTGGTGGAGTTGTCATTCTCTAACACATCAACCGAGTCTTCAGAGAGGAGTGCTTCAGTCTATCACCCTCAAAATCCCCACACCATATCTTGGACTAAGCTCCTTCCTACCATCGTTGCAACTCTGAGTAAGCGGAAGGGAACCCCTGTTGAAGTAATTACACTTGGCGATTGGTTGAAGCGGATACATGCGGATTTAGAGTCGGGTGGTTCCGATATTGAGGATCTTGTTAAGCGAAACCCTGCCGTCAAGCTCCTCGGTACTTATGAGGTCTTTGCGAAGGAGCGAAGAGAAGGGACAAAGTTCACGACGGACTGAGCACAGGCTGCTAGTGCAACGCTGAAGGATTGTGAGGCTATTAGACCTGAATGGGTTGAGAAATGGTGTCAGGGGTGGTTCAAGCATGAGTAAACAGCGATAGTCTGTAATCTAGTGCGCTCTACCAGATATTAATACACATATTAGTAATGTCAATCTCTTATTACAAACTCTCAGGATAAAAATATATGATTAAGAGACCACTTGACGAAGAACAACGCCGAACTCCTTACATAATGAATAACAGTGATATCATGCAAATGCATCCAACAATAAAACTTAAATGTAAAAGAAGTTTATTCCCTGAGATACTCTTAGATATCCAATATACCGTAGATGACCCCCTAGCTCATTGGGAACCTCCCATATCTCCATCCTTCCTGAATTCTCAAAAAGAAAATGTTGCCATAACGCCAATATAAATGTTGTCTCCCACCTTCACCGAGTGTTCATTCATTGCCTTTCCAGAGGCTTCCGCTGTTTTATTAACCAGTAGAAGAAGTCATGATGCTGTTGGGTATTTGAAAAATAATAGACCTCCCCGAACATGCTTTGACTTATCCCGTTTCTTCTTCCACTTCCCTCAACTTTCATAAGACCACTAAGTAGCACTATCCGTTATCGACACCGAGCGATGTCGATCACTCTGCGCCGCCGCCGCAGCAGCAGCTTCCTCTCGAATCGACATCTGAGCAGCTGCCCGGGCACGCGCTAACGCGTTCCTTCTCTGTCGCAGTCTCCATTCAGGCATAGGCTCAGGTCTTTCCCAACCAAAGGCCTCCGCGTTCCTAAGTTCTGGTGGCACTTCGAGAAGAATCACGTTAATCATGAGGTCAAGGAGATTAAGATGTGATAAGTACCTACCAAACAGACAAAAGACAGCGAAGTTAGCTGCATATCGTAGCTGGAAAGTTTGTTCCCCATACGCTGGAACGTTGGCTGTGAACGCGTCGTTCATTGCGTGGTAGAAGTCTGCGTGTGGGTGCTCTAGTGGTAGATATCCTCCTTTGAGGAGCAGCTCAAAGAGGTATCCTCGGCGATTGGGATAGTACCAGGGTTGGTCTACATCAAGAAAGTCCGGAGCGTTGCTGCGATCGTACAGAGGAGCAGCCATTTGGGTAATCTTGTTCTTCGAGTTATAGAAGTATGATAATAGTACTGTGTAGGCTAAAGAGAACGCCTTATGACAATATCTTTCAAGTCGTACTATTCTATTTGCGGAGAAATGCGTGTGTGGAAGGTAGCAGATAGTTGAGAATTTAACGCGCCTTTGACGCGCCGCGATATCACGCGATGGCTATCATAACCACCTTTGGATCCACAACCATCCATATCTTTCTCTGGCCATAGCTTTCCTCATACCTGTCTTACGAGGAATAAGTGAATCTGGGATGGTCTGTGCCTCCCACTCTTTGATCATTTCAGAGAAACAAGCTAGGAGCTGGTGTGAGTACAGCTGGTAATATGGAACTGGCTTTAATTTCTGTTCGTGCATGGACGTGAATATGACCCTTTCATTGATCATTTTTGGTGTCAAATGAGGTAGAAGTACACCCAGGAAACAAAAAACAATGACCATGAAATGATAAGAATGCATAATTGCTTCAAAGAATTCTGGAGCGTGGACCAAGGTAAGTCTTTCGAGTTTCACCATACTTTACATCCGTCAAAGTATCCGCGATTTGTAAGCTGACGAAGCTTGCAAAGAGAAGACAAAACATTATCTACCGAAGACAAAAGATATAAGCATATGAAAAATTCTAGAGTTGTCAAACTAAGTCGAGTACTTTCGTGACTTGAATGATGTATCAGTGTATCCTTACCCGCTAAGCGAGGGAAAAGGGGGATGGTGGGTCGCGAAATGCTCGGCGAAATTTGACGCTAGGTGAATGAAGCGTATGGCTCATACCCTTGAACCCGGAACATTATTTGGAGCATTGGCTTTTACTTTTCCTAGTCGTATTACGCATTTATCGAGTGTAGTGATGGTGTAGAATTATTTTAAGTGGCGCTCAATAAATTAGACGTGGGTAGGGCGAATTGCAAGTGCATTTTCGTGAGGTGAGAGAAGATATAATGAGGATACTCACTTCCTGATAAGAGACCTAGGTGGAAGAGTAGTATTCATATAGTGGAATGCTCGAGCTTGCTATAATCCATGTGACGGCGACGTGTGATAGAAACAGAAACGTGGAACATACAATTTTGAATAGACACATGTGATCTAGTCAAATGATACAACTTAGCATACTCTACCTCACCAACCTAATCCCATAGCTTATAAGCAGTGATAGATAATGCGCTAATACAACAGCCTCCAATCTATCTAGGCACCTCCTCCATCAGCATTAAAAGCCCCATGGATATCGCAAACAAAACTTGAGATACAATTATCTACAACAACCACCAGCTACAAAAATCCATAAAAAGACAATCGAAACCCTATCCACAATATCCTACAGTATTAAATCCACAACCTCTTTCACCTAGTAACCAATATTAAACCAAATCATCTCACTCCCCACAACCCCCCTAACCCCCAACTCTAACAGCATCATCACCCCGTACTCCCCTCCCCCTTCCCCCTTCCCCCTTCCTCCATATCTATATAACACCACACACACAGCCATCCAACCACCTCACCAAAGCAACACACTCTCGTATCAAACCAAAAAACCACAAACTCCCCAAAATAAAATCCCCTATTTCTCTACACTATACATACCACACAAATCACCACATATATAATTCTCCCATAAACACTACCAACATGTGCTCATTGTTTTTAGTGAGCGTGCGTGTTTTAGCTTCCATTTGCCGCCAGATGGGGGTGAGGCAGCTCATTCATGAAAGGAGTGTTATGGTATATAGATACACCAGCTCAAATACCGCGGCACACACAAACAAACGAATTCAACACCCAAAAACGACAGCACCAAAAACATCGACAATAAATCCATCCCATCCCCTCTCACTCAAACTCATAATCACACTTACCTCACACTTAACAACCTATATCTCACAACCTCCAACTTTCAACTACATCTTACCATCTCAGACCTAGCCGTTACCAAGACATCCATCCATCCATCAAAGAAAAAAAGAAGGGCACGATCTGTATCAAGACACACAAGCCACTTTCCCACCTAGTCCCTTTCTTTGGATGGTGATTTATTTTATACATTACCCATACATCCTATACCGTAAAAACCATCAACCCATCTAATCCTCATCAAAGATCCAAAACAGGAATTCCGTCAAAGAAAGAAAGAATATATAGGGGAATTCATTATCAATTTGATCAAAACCCTCTTCCCCTTTCCTTTCCTATGAATCATAATTTCATAATATAATCTCCACCCCCATACCCCCATACAATACCACCTACCCCCCCCAAACCCCAAACTCCCAAACTACAGACCATCTCATCCTTTTCACCTTACCTAAAATCGCACTCCAACCACCAACCCACCCCCTTCTACATCCCCTGACAACCTCAACTTACCCCAGGATCCAGGTAAGTCCTTCCCCTAACATCCTCCCTAAATTATGTATACACCTACCACACACCTCCCTCCACATCGCAACACCAACCCCTCACCCCCCGTTTTTAGTCAACAATCCTCAACAATCCTCAACAATCCGAAACCCCTGGTGGCCCCAAAAATCCGAAATCCCAAAATCCCAAACATTACAAATACAAACACAAACAAAAGCGCACAAACGCACCCAAAACAAGACATCAAAAAAGGCGGTATCTATATTTCCAATTCTCTTCGCTGGAGTATCTAGGCACCTAGCTACCTACCAAAGATAACTTACTTTTACCACCCCAACCCATTTGATTTTTGAATTGTCCATTTCCATTTAACCGAGCAATCCATTCATCTATCATCTTCCATGTCTATATTACCCCCTTCACGCCCCAAACCATGCCACGCTAAAAAAACAAGAGTTCCACAAGGAAAAGACATCTCTTCCTTCGTAGTACTCCACTCTATTCCTACAACACATTCATCCCATTCCAATAAATTCACTCATCCCCACCACTATTCCCGAGAGTCATAATTCCCAGAACCCCAGGAATAAACCTCCCAAATGAGGAATTTCTGACAAGACAATTAATGCTTACCATTAGCCTTAGCCGGACTTCCATTCTCCACAACCTTCGCATACGTATTTCCATTCGCAACTGCCTTCTCATTACCAACAGGCTTCCCATTCGCGACAACCTTCCTCTTCTGCGATCGTCTCAAGTAGCTCTTAACAAAGAATCGGACGAAGAGTACAGTGAGAGGCGTAAGGTAAAGAACATTAAACCAAATAGCAAAAGTTTGACCACTCGTCGCAATACAAGGAACACTTTGATACTCAACATTGTATTTGATTCCATCATTTCCAGTAATAGGTGCCACTTTTGGTGATGGAGTTGTGACCGGGGCATTGATGTTCTCTGCTAGTCCTTGTTCGCCAACTGCGTAGAAGAGGTATTTTTTCACAAGGTCGACGAGTGCGGTGGTGCTTGCCGCAACGCTTGCTGTGGCACTCTCGGAGGAAATGGCTGCTGAGGCGACCGAGGTGATTTTCTCTGCTGCTGCTTTGACGACTGGGACTTTGACTGGGATGGTGTAGTACACGAAGGAGTGGATGGCTGCGTAGGTTGCGCCGACGAGAAATTGTACGATTTGCATGGTTGTAAGGCTTCGTTTGAGTGCTTGTGGGATGGGAACAGAGAATGCTGTTACGGTGTAGTATGTGTACTATTTTTGTTAATATATTTTCCTAGTTTCTTGTTTGATTTGGCTTACCATCAGAGCATGAATTCCCGAGTTCACAAACACAAACATCCAGATTGGAGGGGACATGTAGCGAATTCCAGCCCACATACACATCATCGCACCAGCATGATGATACGTTTGCAGAGTAGAACTCCTCTTTCCTTTCGCCAGAATGATCACGGTATCAAGAACCTCATAGAATTTACTGAGGTAAAAGAACCACCCGTAAAAAGCAAGTCCCTGGTTCCACAATCTTCCGTAATCAGTCGCATCTGGTAACCCCGCACTGGTAAGGAAGACGGAATCTGGAGACTGCGAAATCCAACTCGAAGAAGCCGGTTCATAAACAACAGCATTTCCCAACCCGCGAGGACCGTGGATCTTGCATAGGCTGTCGACTGTTGCGGATAATCCATCTGGACCTGACCATCCCGCGAGAGAATTTTGAAGCGCATTCCACATTCCAATGAAGGTCCATCCCGAGTACACAGCCAAGAATATGTTGTGCAAAACCACGAAGCAGAAGAAAGCTCTGGTCTTGCTGATTGCCCATGGCTCATTGCCCCTCGATCGGTTGTATGCGTTTAGAGAGCTCACAGAGACAGCATAGACGGCCGCGATGGTGATTGGAACTCGCACATCAAGAAGGGAGTTGTATAGCTCGGCGGAGATATTGAATGGAGGCGCAGAAAGGGTCGAACCTGCGATAGGTGGTGGGAGCGCTAGAGGATCGTGTCGAGGTGGGAATTGGAAGAGCGCGCTGTCTGGCTTTTCCAGAGAAATGGTCGACATGTTGACTTGGACTGTGGGTGTGGGTTCGACGGGAGAGGGTCGTGTGGGGGAGGGCGATGTTTATGGTTGAGCACCTGCACCTGTACCTTCCATAGGGCAGGCCGAGTATGCGGTTGAGTTCGTCCTGTCTCACGTCGGCGCTGCAGTGGAATGTGAAGGAAAGTGACGATTGTGGAGGGAGGGGAAGGGAAACAGAAGCAACGGAGAGTCACGATAGAAGGAAAGCCAAACTCAGATATGTTTCATCACCATAGTCGTGGTAGCACTAGCGGCAGCAGTAGTAGCAGTAGGGGTCTCTTTTTTTCTTTCGCCAAGGGTAGAATTGCACAGCATGGAGCTTGAATGGCTTAGTTCCTCTTTCGCCCCAGCTGGTTGGGAATTTGACATTTTGACATTAGTGTTAGCCTCAAATCTCTTCCCAACGACGCACTTCTTCCTGCCTCTTTCAGTTCACCTCAACCCCACCGTAATCTCCTCAACTCTCCTCAATTGCTGATAAGCCTCTAGATGCATCATCCCTATCCCGTCTGCCATGTCAAAGTGGCATGTGAAGGCATTTCCGAGTGAATTGGCTGGTCATCATGGCAATCTTCCTCTTCCCCATTCTCACGGCCGAGGTTCAACTCTCCAAAATTTGTTGGGAAGGAGATGACGTTTTTCCCAAGGTCCATGCAGCTTCACCCAATCACAGATTCTTCCATGCGGACCCCTAAATCTCGGGAACCAATGGGGCCCGAGAAGTACCACGCTGCTTGGCAGCATCCATCAAGAGCCTCTTCTCGCCTTGTGTGGCTCGTGGTTGTGCTACAGTATGATCGGTGCTCCCAGCTCGCGGTGGTACGAATCAAAATCCATCGAGCACGCGATCTCTTGTCGACCGATAAGATAGTAGCAACCGGGTCAACATCAGTTTGTATGTTGTATACTGACCCATTGCCCAACTCTTCACCCACGTCGATTCAAGGTTAATATTTTGGACATGGACAAGCAAAATTCCTTCAATATCAAACTCAAAATGGCCAGACCTCAATAATAATAGCTGGGTGAAAAGTTGGTCTCAACAAAATTCACGGGGTACATCACTCATGGGGAAAGTCTCCCGCCCTTCAACTCCCCTCCATGAGCGGGAGGCGATTTGTTAGTGTGCCGAGGTACGTACTTTGTTACATAAGAATTATTCCACCTTATGCTACTCGTTACGGGCCGTTGGGGGAACGGCTTTCAGTTTGTGTTCATACCGAACCTTTCAGAACTGAATGTTGGAAATTGACACAGAATTCGTTGAAAAGAAAATGCCTTCAAACCTACCAAGCATACATCTAGAATAATATCAATCAAACATCAGACAAGATCAGTACATCTACGAGTTCTGTGTCAACTCGCGAAAAAAAAAAAGACATATATATATAGCATACTACATCGAAAGCACTCCTTTAGTAAGGAAGGGAAGGAGAGTCTCTATCTCGATATCTCAGCTTCAACTTCAGAGAAAGAGGTCTAAGATTTTAACTTCTAACTCCCTCTTACCTTTCCCTCCTATCTCGTTTCCTGTTACAAATAACTTTAATCTACTTAAAATAGAGTATAGAAATAAAATCTCTAATAATTTTATTACCCTCCTCTTACTCCTTAGCCCTCTTTTTAATACTATATACTTTTCTAGTTTTAATTATTTAGTAAAGTAGCTAATAAAATAGTCTCTTTAATATTAGTTTCTATAATCTTAAAAATCTTTTTGAAGTCTTTACTTTTTTATATTAGAAAAAATAACTAGTTTATAAGTCTAAAAAAGTATAGGTATTATATCTAATTAACCTAATACTCTTCAAATATACTTCTTACTACTATCTTAATACTCCTTTATTATATTATTCTATTCTTAAAGTTACTTAATTAGAAACTAGTTCTTTATATGATAATAGATTATCTATTTTATTTTTAATAGTAATAATTCTTTTAATGATATATCTACTATTTTTAACCCTAACTATAGATTTTTAGAATTAGTCTTAGATTATAGTAGATATAAAGAGAAGCTATAAGTAAAGATATAATATATAGATTATAAGCCTTCTTACTTAGTTAATTAATATATTAGAGTTAATATATCTCTAGAGAGCCTTCTCTAAGTTTATTTCTTATAGTAGTTAGACTTATAAGCTTTATATAGAGTATTTATAAAAGGCTTACTATAGTACTACTTAAGTACTTAGAGTTACAAATCTTAATAAATTAGAGAGGTTATAAGTATTAAGGAAATAGTAGACTAATACTGTTACGGAGTTGGAGGAATTGGGGGCAGATCAAGTGTAGCAGCACGGCACGTGCGTGCTGCTGGCAGCCTGTATATAAGCTTCTGTTCCTCTGGAACTCTCTTCCTTCCTCACTTAGTTGTTCGCTCTATATAGCAGTTTCCGTTTGACTGTGACAGACGTGCTTCAGGTAGAACTCAGAACAATTAACACTCTATTCTTAGGACAAAAGACGAGGAAAGAAGGAGAGCTCAAGAGAGCTGGGAACTAAATACAGGTCGTGCGCGCTAGCGCCTCGCTAAGCGAGCATGTGACATCCAGCCCTCGTGACCATAACCGTCACATTGACTCCGTATTCATCACAGCAAGCAGTGGTTCACTCCACACGGTCACAAATACTATATTAATAATTACTAATAATATATAAGTTAACTTATAAATTAGAAAAGAATTTGTCTCCTTTTTTAAAGTATAAGTTAGTTATTTTACTTATATAAAATCTATTAAGAGAATATAGTAAGGCTTAGAGATATATGAATTAAATTCTAGTATATAGAGTATAAATTACTATAGGCTTACCTTCTTACTTAATTCTTACTTTATACTTTTACTTTACTTAAATTATACCCTAAGATAGAATACTTGATATACTATTTTTACTATACTAGATATAATTAAAACCTACTTATTAATATCACTTTATACCCTAGAATTAATAGGAACTTAGGAAGAGCCTATCCTTATATGAGAATATAAATATTACGAAGATAATTTCTCTATATTTTATAAGAATAGACTTCACCCTCTAAGACTATAATTAGAATCCTAACGCATAAGCTAATAAACAAAAAATAGGAAGTATAACATAATCCGTATTCTCCTAACAGCCCCTCCTCTTATCCTGCTTCCCTTATAAATATATCTCTAACCTAAACATCATATCCCCGTTATATTACATCGGTAATAATGGAGCTCAAATCAAGTCTGTCTTCCCCTGGATCTTTATCTTACAAATTCGTTTCCCGAGTTCAGATTTATTGATATTGGTCCTGTGTTGAACCTACTGCTGTTCACCCTTTATGTGGTCGATTTGTGCTAGAGTAAGAAGAGTATAAGAATGTTTGGAGATGAATTGACAGTAGGCCCCGTTTCGATAGTAAGAACTTTTTAAAGTTTTTTATCTGTGAGTTTCTTCTGCTTTTACGCACGAGATGAGATATGGCAAAAATAATTATCTGGGAAGGTGCTTAGACGTGCGTACTTGAATTCATGAGTTGACTTTACCTCCAACCTGAGAAAAGCGGTATGTCCGTGGAGTTGAGGTCTGCGAATAAGAATGCTATGACACGATCTGGTTTCTCGGTGTTATATAGTTTGGGACAGGAAGGTACTTGCTGTACGTACAAGGAACCCTCTAAGTAAATTCTTTGGTTGAATTTTTGAAATTTGTGAGTAATGTTGGGACATGTTTCTAGCAAGGGAAAACTAGAAAGTATGAGTGAGTCTCTGCTCATGCTTTGCCAACCCCTCTATGGTATGGGAAAATGCTACCTGTTTTATATGAAGTAATAGGTACAGAATATATACCTACCAGAGGCTACATCGGAGGAGCTATGTGTGAAGGAACAACCGAAATTAGAACACAATACTGACAAAGAGAAAGGGAGGACGTTTTGGTGAAACTAAGGGTTCTATAATCTCCCAGAACGTCTGAGAGGAGCACCGTAGAGGAGCAACATCGTCAGTTTACTTACATTAGAAGTACAGTATGTCACTAAACAAGAACCAATTAATCTCTCCCGCACTTCCTCTTTACATAGTAAGTAAGTTACCACATCAAACACGGGAAACACCGCATTACAATTCTCAACTGCCATCGCACTTAGTAAATAGCGAAACCCCTCAAGCCCTATATACACCTTCCCAACTACAGTGATTAAGATTCAAAAGCAATTCAAAACCCGACATGATAATTTCGTCCTATCTCTCTGGTCGCCACAACATTCTCTCATTCGACAACAGCTCTTCTTTTGACAGCAAACGCTCCTGTTAGTTAAAGCGAATCTACACTTCGCCGCTTTCGTTCTTATGACTAATAATATGCCCTATATGTACCATGTATCTCTCAGAGGCATCTTGCATACTTTATCGTGCTTATTGGAAGACGGGTGGCTGCGGTGTGTAGTGTGTATTGTGTTAGTGTCTCTAACACCCAGGGGTACCTATTCACTGAAGCAAATTAGTAAAATACTATACTTTCCACATGCACCCAACTCCTTAAAACCTCTATTCATGTTCAATCGTCAGTCGGTACACGTCACATCAAATGAGGCTTATTGTTGGTTTTATTCTGTATTACTGGCTAGCTTCAAGTGCTTACAGTATAATTCGCCCATATATAAGTGGAAAGCGAGTATAAGCACCTTCGGCTACGCACCCCTTACGGGGGCAGTTTGACTAACTACGGAGTAAACGCCAAGTACTCGGACTTCGACCGTTTATAGACCAATCAAAAGGCTCTATCTAGCAGAACACGAAGTATAAAGTAGGGCAACTAATACACGCCAAGTGCTAGGACTTCCACCACATTATAGACTAAAAGGCTCTATCTGGTGGAAACACAGTATGGAGTAGGGCGATAACTTCGGCTAGGTAGGCAAAGAAGTACAAAAACGCACCCCTTTCGGGGGCATAAACGAGCTCGGTCCAAAAAGCCCTCCCAAATCGCCAGGCGAGCCTTCCAGCGAGGGGAATGTGGGTGGGACAAAAGAGCCCACAAAAGTGTAGCTGACAATATAGTAGTAGTAGATATTGTGGTGGTGTTGAAGGCATGTGGCAGTAGTGGGGTGGGATATATATTCCACCATAGCTTACTAAGCCTTCATCCTCATTCACTATAAATCCTGCCACTCTAGTCGAAGCTCACGAGTGAATCAACCAGCTCAAGCGTCGCAAAAAATCCAATAAACAGCCGAAACCCCCATCCCCCTCCCCCCTAAAAAAAAAGTCGAGAAAAAAAAAAAACACAAAACCTTAAACCTCCCAGCGTCGACGCTAGGAGGCTCCCTCAGGATAAATTTCCCATTGCAGTTAAGATTTTTTTCGAGGGATTATCTACGGGGGGGGAAAGAGGAGGAGGAGGATGGGACGTATACGGAACAGGTAGTGTGTGTGGTGCTGATGGGTGATCACATACTAACTGACCGGGCCAGGCGGGCAGGTTTAATCCCAGTTTTGATGGGAGAAAAACGTGTTATTTGGGGATATTAATGTTGTTTTGGGAGATTTGTGGGGTGGGGGTTAAGCGGGGGGCTGTGGTTGGTGGGATGACTTCGGGTTGTTGTTGGTTGTTGGGGTGAATGGTGCAGGTGGGGTTGCAGTGTGGGAGTATGGATTTTTATAGGTATGGTGTTTGGATTTTCAGATGGTGTGTAGTACAAGTTGGAAGTTATCCTTGACGCTCCGCTGGGAATGAAAAGGGCACCCAACTTCTGTTTACCCTACCATCTTGTTGCCTCAAATAAGCGGCTCCAGGGACGATTGTGACAGTTTGGGAATCCCATTCAAGGTTGCAGAGAAAGATGAATAACTAAATAGGTTTTGACGGTAGATTCCTTTTCGACAATAAACGGTCGCTCCTAAATAGTATTCAAGCCTCGCGTCCTTTTCCCTGGACAAAATTAAGGATTGTCGAGCAAATTTTTGCTGTACTTCCGCACCGAATACTTTTACTCGCATTGTTCCTTAAATCCATCCAAGCAGCACATACTTGATCTCCTTGTAGAGAAAAGGAATGAAGTAATAAGGATTACAAGGCCTACAAGTCAGTTGTTAGGGGTGAGACTTGAATTATAGTATAGTTTCTCAAGTTGGAGTTATGGACTTGTAGATTATTTGCGAGTATTCATAGGTTAAACTATAGTCTGGCTCTACTTTCCTGGTAGCGTATATCTCTGGTTTCTTTGTTGTAGTGAAAACGCAAGATTTCCTTTTTTTCCGTCATCGTAGGAGATATCTTCAAGATGCTAGAGAATGAGAGAGTTGCTGTAATAAAAACAGAAGTTAGATAGTGTCTCTAATTAAGGGCTAATATTAACCTGTATATTGACTCGATATTTAGCTTCAATCCGGTCTGGTGTGACGTGATGTAAAGGTTCGCACATATTTCAAAAGTCGGCTGGGAATATCATTAGAGAAGCACCTAGAAAATTGGGTTCGAGAAGAGAGCACCAACCAAGGCATGTATGGAGAAAAAGTTAGATGGATTCTTTTCATTGCACTATCATCTCTCCCTCAAATTACTTTACTAAAATATACTTGCAAGAAGTTGGGTACAACCTATGTCAGTCCAACATTCAGGAGTCCTGCAACACATGACTTTCCAAGCATGTAAACGATTTTTGAAAGATTCTTCTCAGAGGGAAGTACCTGACCAATACCAAAACGCATAGATCAATATATAAGCCAAGGTCATCGGCAGCCCACTTTTGAGATGGCATCTTCAACCAAGAACAATTTCAGTCATCCTGGCTTGCGCGCAATCACTGATGAGAGATATACGTTGCCCGCCTCTTTCATGTGTGATCTGTATCTTGGCCGTATTCTTCAGCTCTGTAATCTGAGATCTCCTAGCTTTGATCTTGGCCATAGAATTGATCGGTCAATTAATCTACCAAAGATCACACCAATGGTTCCACCAAAATAACAGTTGTTGGCTGATGCCATCACAAATACCAAGATTTCAGTGATTTCTATTGGATGAAACCTATTCTTGGACACCTACGATTATAATGACAATTCCAAAGGCAGTGCTTCTTGCATCACTGGAGCACCTTTTGAGGATGGAGGCTTCAACAACGCACCTGCTGGTTGACGAGCCGTGAAACAGGTTCGAGGCAGCAATGAGTTTATTGGGGGGTGTTGAAGAAAACCAACGATTCGAAAGAGAAGACGACCCCAAAAGCAGCGGATACACATAGCAATGATTGAAAGGTTAACGCTGGTTCGACAGTAGCTTTACTTTCGACAGCAAAATATGCTGAAATTTCCCAATGCGGTAATTTCTTAATCCACAATCACTACGCTGAACTTAGAAAGACTGGCATGGCAATAAAGGCGATACACAGTTGATTGAGCCAGGCTGCCTTCTTTCCTTGCAATCACCACGGCCCAGCTTCTCCATGGAAGAGCCGATTCCTTGTAGTGTTCTAGACTCGGAATCCAATGTGCTCCACCTTTTCCAAATTTATAGATAAGTTTCTAGCGAGCCCTGGCCCATAGGTCAAAGGTCATACTCTATGGCAGCAATTACTAGACCTGTCGTCGTTCCTATACCAAGCTTACTAGCACTCGAGTTGGACTGAGGTGGTAAGCTGGATAGCCAACAACTCCAGACGAGACTGGTCGCAAGATCTTTTCTCTAACCATAATCGAAAGGAACCCCTACACAGGTTCATGATCGACTTTTGCACACAAACTGTCTGAATTTCTAAAAAACTTGAGCCGGCGATATCTCGAGCAGCATGGCCACCCTTCACTACTACAGTGATGGCGGATACAACACTACCACGAGCAAAATCATACGCGTCATTGCGTCACTATGAAGTGATGGCTCAGGTTTTCCCTCTGCTCTAAATCGACATCGGGTGTAATACTGCATACATTTCAGGCAATAATGAGAAAGAAAACTCTAAAAATGATTCGACGGCAACGTTTCTTTCGACAGTAAACGGATTTCAATTTTTTCAATAATCACGATGAAGTAATTTTAGTAAATCATAGTAGAGCCCAAAGGATGTCACTTTGCTTTGCTTAAGCTACGAAAAACCTTTCTAGGCAAGTATGCGCCTTGATTGCGAATGCGGTGTCTCTAGAAGAAACAGAGGTAATAATACCAACGAACAACACGATTTTGACGTAACTTCTTCAGTACCAATTTATCCCTTCTTGTTTCCCCGCTATGTCGATCGAGTTCTTTGTTATCATAGAGTTTCGCCTCTTCCTCAACGCTCTACAAAGATAGCTTGGCGAGTAATAACCACTTTGTCGATGTCTAACTACAACGTCAAAAGAAATCTTCTCGTTTCCCTCCTTGACTCGTCTCATCAAAAACCACCAAATCCATCACAAGATCCCTCCTTACAGGCTTAAGGTAAAGGGGAAAGTACTTGTAGCAACACACCACCATCTTACTTCCACAAAACCGAGTCAAAATCTTCCGTACCGTCGGTAAAGCCAACTGTTTCGGTGTCAAATAGATGAAGACATGGGTAACCAGATGATTAGTGACTAGCTGAGTAACAATATCATTTTCGTCCGCATTGAAATCATAGACAAGCCATTTCGCGTCCACACCTTCGAGTTTCGATTTCAGTCCTGCATCGTCGATAAGTGCTGCGTCATAATCTACACCTACCCCATTTGCCGCGACGATATCAGAGGAATTAAGCTTGTTGATGTGAGAAAGCAGTCCGATTACTTGAGATGTTTGTGTCAGTTCTGGAGTTTTTGGAATTTTGAGTTTTCCAACATTTTGAAGTTCAGTGAGGAGTTTGATAACACTTGGCACGAAAGGAGGGGTTCAGAGGATGGAGTTCGATCCGTACGCACGGAAATCACCATCTCCAGATCCGAGATCACAGACTACAACTGGCTTCGTGTCGGGCTTGATGGAGGTGACTTCTGGGATGAGACGCATGAGGGTTGCTGCTGCGCGCATGGTTGAGGCGGGGGTGGGGATATATGGTGCGAGGCTGGTGCTGAAACCGAAGGGGATGTAGTCAATGTCTTGGAAAGCGAATAACGGGGAGCCATCATCATTGTTCATTACTACAAGATGGAGAGCGTTGAAAGGCTTCAATTAAGTTTATTGACTGTCGGGGTAATGAAGTGGTTGTGTGGTGGCTTTTTGAGAGTTTCGATTGAAGACCCACTTATTCAAGCCTCCAGAGACTTGCCTGAACCACTTACCGAGACTTCGGTAGACTTCGGCTAACATTTGCTATCCGTGACTCAGATTGTAAGCTGATATGATTTGTTGACCTCCATTTTTGGCGTAGGCTCCCTTTTCATTTATATTATTTACTCGATCCGATCCAGTCCGTATTCAGATCAAATTCCATTGTATCGATTTCTTGAAATTCATGGCGAAGGTGAGAAGACATGCTTCTCAAGGTAGCTATAGCAAGGCAGACAGCTCAGTCTTCTCAAGCAATTGGATGCCTCAATCTGCTAGCAGGCTGCCAGCGCCTTGTCGCCGATGCTGTCTAGATGTGACAAAGTGACCCAAATTTGTAAAACGTCGTATGTAAGCTTTACACACATTGTATCAGAAAGATTTGCTGTACTTGTACTCATAAACCAGTGACAGTGAATCAAAATAAAACTCGGAGCCTTACGTAGGTGAGTTTTCAAAGATGACCGCCTCATAAATATTCCGAAATACATATATATATATCTCTCTCTCTCGTGTCATGTGATCGAACTTAGCTCGAGGTCGGAGGTCGTAGCTATTTTCCTTAGGCGCCTGACCAGTAATGTTTCTCAGCCCCTGTATATCAAGTACCGGTGTGGGCGACGTAATAGCACGCAACCGATCTATTTTTGGGATCCAACAATACGTACTCCCGTTTCTAATATGCAGTTCTGATATTGCCGAGTTAAAAACCTCACTTAAGTTTCACGATCACACCCCCGGCATCTGAAAAGTTTTTCGAAAGATTCACATTGTCGGTTGACCTAGAATTCGCAAATAGCAGTTGTCGATTGGAGTGAAGTAACCAGTTTCTGATTGGTGGTGTTTAATTTCTTAGAGAAGAGAAGGTAGCTAGCTAGACTACAAACCCTTATATGCCAATTTCAGATCACGTGGATAAACACCTGTAGATGTTGCGACACAGACCTATACTCCACGATCACCATTTTCCTAGAATTTAAACATACTCTCTGTCCTTAGTAACATAAATTTACTTCAATCCATCTCCTCAAATAGAGAAACATGGCGATAGTGCGAGTTAAGGAAGGATCTACTACGCCGCATCTCCACGCGTCTCACGTAAAAGTGTCGTCGCTTAGACCCCTGACCAGCAGCCCCCAGCGAGGCTCATTTGACCAACTGTACGACATCATCCTAAGCCTGTTAGCACTGCCGCATTTCACCTCAAGACTCAGGCTTCGATACATAAATGCTTACAGTGTCTTGTTAGAAGTAAGGAGTCTCTTCTCTTTCTTAGAAAATGGTTACATTTCCTTTTCTTCATTTATTCTTTCCTATACATTGCCTCTCTAGTTTCTTGGATTTTGAGTTTTTCTTGCTACTGTGACGGTTTCTTTAGCACTCACTTACTCTTTCTTACCTCGCCTCCTGAATTCCTAAAATGCGGCTAAGAATTTACGTCCCAGTGGTTGTTTTTGTGACCATTCCTATCCTATATTTTGCCACCCGCGTATATTTCTTCATCCATTTATTCAAAGAGTATTCTGGGATCGCAATTTCGCAAGCTGAGGCCGCGATAGCTTACAATACGACGAAAGATGTGAATGATCACGAATACACACAGAGAATACCGAAGATCATACATCAAGTCTGGCATGATTGGAATGCTGGAGACGATACAGATAATCAGGCTATGCCCGGGGATTGGAGTATCATGAGAGATGGTTGTAAGAAACTTAATCCGGGTTGGGAGTTCAAGGTATGTATCGCCTCCATTTCTGTAATCCGTTGATACCTCGTCCTTGACTAAGTTTGTATTGTAGTTATGGACAACAAAATCATCAAGAGAATTTATCGCAGGTTCCTATCCTTGGTTCCTTAATACATATGATGGCTAAAACACCCGGTGCAACGGGTAGATACTGTCCGATACTTCCTGGTACCCTCTGGCATCCGATTTGCCCTCATCGCATCCCACCATGTTATACGAACACTTGTTACAAAAGGTCTGCCAAACAGATTACTGTAAGAGCAAGGTACTTTGAGGCGAGAGAAAAACAACCTAACGCAAAACCGTTGCGCAATGTAGATTCTTACTAGGATAACGGTTGTTGCAACAGAAAAGAGGCGCATCTCCCCTATCCAAGGTCGCTTGTGGCTGGAGCCCAACGTTCTCCAGATTAGACCACCTACCCTTCCACACTACAAAGGGGCAAAAAGACGTGCGCTCCTGAGTGGATATGAGTGGTAACGACTGGGTTAAATTGAGGCTTGAATGCTTAGAAACGCAGCCTGGTTTGGCCAAACGACTTTGTTTTACGAACAAAACGTTGTTAAAGTGGAGACAATTACGCCACCTTGGATGTACGTTTTCTTGTCCCTTTGGAGTCTGGAAGTTACAAAGTTGTTGTTCCAGAGTGAAGTAATTCATGACACTATTCATAAGGGCGGATTTTCAGAAGTGCTTGAAGAGGAGAATTTGCCATCGACAGCCAAAGTTTACGAAGCTCGTGTACTGTAGTAATACGGGTCGAAACGCAGAATATGATTAATTGGCTACGACTCAAGGCCCAGATGACCAGCGCGGTTCTAGTCTATGAAACATCTCTAAAGCCAACTTACATAAGCGGACCGAATAGGAGCAAGCAGAAGAATTAAATAACTGTATACTTTTCAAACAGCATCGGCATTTCATCGTTCTGAAGATATTAGTAAGACATTTGCGGCTTCAGAGAGACTTAGAATGCCCTCGTTCTTTCATAGCCTCGGAGAAAAACATTTCTAGCTACAGTAACTATCAGCTAATACGAGCTTCAGGTGGCGTTCTAGTTCATGAATCAACTTGTGTTGTATTGAGAACTAAACATGAAACCAAACCCCCAGCTTTACGATCCGAAGTTTCAAAAATGTGAGAATTCAGATCTGTTTACGAGGTATCAGATTAGCACCAAACACAGGCAAGAAAACATTTTGTTACCTTCAACACCCAACTTATATCTCTCCAATATACAAGTAGTCCCGTTAGCTTATCAATCAATTCGAATAAAATGTACTGTACTTTCCAACCACCATCATTTCCCGACAAAACACGAAACTTCATATTCCTCAGATTAATGTGTCTAAGTGCGTGTTTGGCTAGGATATACGAGCAACTGAATTCTCGACGGCGTAACCTTACTTTTATAAAACTGAAGTGACTCTAGCAAGTCCGAGCAAGTGTACGCTTACGGCTTTGACAGTAAGGTCTGTTTCGACAGTGAAAATAAAACCTCAACCACCATGTAAACAAGGATAATTGGGGAAAGTAGCGATGTCGTGTTTGTGTAGGTAGGTAAACTGCCCCTGTTTTGATTGACTTACGCCTCTTCTCAAACTATTCGTCACTCTTAACCACAGCACTGACACCTTGTATTTTTCCATTCCTTCCACAATATAACCACAAGACCTAATCCCCAGAAGAAATTTTATATCAGACACCCACTAAAGACCACGTCTGAATGACACAACCCTCATACTTCCTCTCAGGCAAAGGTATGAATTAGCCCAGCAAAGGAGCTTACAGACCAAACACACCACAGTCCACTCTGTCCAGAAGAGATCATCTCCATCTATCCTCAGTGCCTCACCTATGTCGCACTTAACACACACCATAAAAGCCACCAAAACATCCCACCCAGTAAGACTGAGGCCAACCCTCACATCTCTCACTAGCACAAGCGAGCTCTATACCAAGAACCCCAAACCCACCTGATCCCCAAGGCCCCTTTCAAAGACACAATCACCCTTTCCCAAAATAGAAAGTACAGTACAAGAACCTTACTACGGGAGAATCTGAGGTATAGGGATAGAACCAATGATACGGAATCCTGATCTGTGGTGTTATATTCTTGATACGTCTCTTCTCTATTTTCTATACACTGAACACTAAACACTAAACACCCGCTCGCTAATTTTACAAACAAATTACTACAACAGGGTAGCTATATTCATAATCTAATAAAGACAGAATCTAAGAAGACAGAAGAAACCAAGGTCGGGATCTCTAAGTGAAGTAAAGAATCTCAAGGAAACAAATACGCTATACCCCCCTTCCATCCTCGCCGGCGCATTCATATCCAGGTACAAGTAAAGTTATGTGGAACGCTAAGCCAAAAAAAAAAACACCAAGAATCGCTCAAACAAAATACAGTAAAGAAAAATTTATTTCATCTCATCTCATCTCATCTCATCTCATTCATCCCATAAAAAGCAAAGAAAAGAAACCCATACTCCAAAAAACAAACATTCTCAAAAAAGTCTAGAAAGCGCACTCAATTCAAAGTACAAGTACCTGCCCAGTGAACCCCCCACAATCAATCATCCCACTCCTCATCCAACTGATCAATCAACCGGTTCTCATCCTCGGGTCCATTCCTCCCATTCTGCCGTCCCCTCCCACTTGACCGATCATTCGCAGAGACAGAAAGTGCGCTGTAGCCCCGATGGGTGGGTAGACATCGGGAACAGGATGAGGTTGCGATGATGAATGCATCCTAGTTGGTTATGATCGTTAGCTTGTGATTTGGAGATGGTGAGGATTGGATAATTGATAGTGAGATGTGTATAGTGAATAGTGAAATGGGGATGTGTAGGTACGGCAAAAGGCGTCCAGTGGGACGTGCGCTTTTTGGTGTGATTTTGGGGGTTGGTGGTAGCAACTAAACTTGTTGCTTGGACGTGGATGAATCTGGAGGGGTGTCTTGAAAGTGGAGGAGTGTCTTGAATTGAATGGATTTTGAGCGCAAGAGAGATTTCTATACTGTGTGGATAAGGTACAGGTAGGAAATGTGTGTATGTATCCTGAATTAAGAGGCTTCGCCATGCTATGACTCGCCGAGAAAAAAAGTGAAGAATGAGAATGAGAGAGGTACTCTGTACAAGGAGGTTTTGATGAATTTGCAGAACTTTTTTCTTCCCTTCTTCTCCTTCCCACGACAGCGTTTTCGAATAGGACCATAACTAGAAACAAATTATGCGACAAAGGTAGTCATGATCACAGTCATGAAAGATGCGTAGACTCCCATGACGACCTCGACATATAAGACTTGTTTTTCCTCGTTGACATCAGAGGTCGGACCTCCATGGTGGGCAGAATACCCTCTCTCACGCTCGTAATCCGGGGGAACACTCTCTGCTTCGCGCGCTGGACTAAAGTAAACCAGCTCACCTTTATGAAACTTCCTATTCCTGCCCACATGCTGTAATTGGGCAATTGTCTCCATCCTCTCGCATGCGCCACATTGCGCTGGTAGAATACACCTCCGAGGAAGTAGACGAGAATGGCGATAACTCCAATGATGGAGAATACTGCTGCTGGTCCGGCGCCTTGTTTGGCGGGCTGAGCACTTACGCAGGCCTCTTTGGAGAGGACTTCGAAGGAGTATGCGCATTCGTCTGGGTCGACGCTGACGAAGCTTATGGATGGCGCGGAGGCAAGTGGATCTTTGTCGCAATGGAAGGAAATGGTGGTTGATTTTCGTCCTTTCCCATCCTTCTTGTCTTCATCGTCTTCGTCTTTTGATTTTGCTTCTCTTTTTTTATTACCCCCGCAAGGCGAACCATTTATGTATTGTAGAACAAGTCGCTTTCCTCGAATAGTAAGATTCGATGCCTGTAGTCTACAACACGGTTAGAGCAAGGTTACCAGATCACGATACAGCAATACAAACCCCATGGAATACTTCTTATCCCCCACCTCGTAAAAAGCACTAGCGTTCTTCCATAGTGACTTCTGGACGCCAACTAGATCCTCCGGATATTCCACCAGCGGAGCGCATATGTTCAAAGTAAAGTTGTATGGAATATCGTATCCTTTCGCATGATAATCGTCCACCTTTTCCTTTTTCCCAGCCTTCTTCCCATCCTTCGGCGGTAGTATTGACAGCGGTCTGAGGTCATAAAACGCGCCGTTCGTCGATGCAACCGTACATGGTTCTACGACTTTTTCGTCTGCTGCGATGGATAAACCGCTGTGTAATGCGAGAGCAATGAGGAGGGAGCTTGGAAGTAGTGGGAGATGCATATTGATCGCAAGTAGTCGCAATGCGCTCGCCTGGTGGCGCTGTTCCGTAAGGTGTATTATTGGGGTACCTGCTTTGGTAGGCAAATATATTGGGTTGTTGCAGATTGCAGATGGCGTGGCGGTATCGAGAGTTCCAATGGTGGTACGGCGCAAATGTGAAATTCCAAGGTCTATAGTGGTCTAGTCGTGGTGGAGTTTGGTAACTAACTTAAGCTTGAGGTCCCCATCCGCATCCGCCGCGCCCGAAAGACAGATCGCCAATCCCTGTTCGCCCTGTTGTGTGTGTGTGTGTGTGTCTATTTAACGTCTAGGCGGGCACGTACGCAAGTCACGTGCCCTTCAGTCCCCGTTGGGGCAAAAGACGCCAGGTGGGGGAGGCCCCTGGCTTCCTGTCTAGCTAGCTAGATTATATAAGAGTTTAAAGGCTGTAGCGGGGTTTACATGTACGCTTTAGCTGTTGTTTTGTCCGCTTGAGGAAGTAAAACAGTAGTGCTGCCACCTCTTTGCAGCATGATCCTCCAGCCTGTGATCCTAGCCCCTGTTCGCCGCTGCCTCCGCCTCTGATAATGGAATAAAGTAAATGAGAGAATAGTAAAGAGAAGAGTAAAAGGAAACTAGTAGACTTTTGAGGGCTCCCTTATAAGGTAGGAGAGCTTTGTGTATGTGATATACACACTTCTTGGTAGAACTTGGAGTCTGTAAACCACTTTGCTAGTTTGATAGAGCCCTGGGTAGTTCCAAGTAGCCAAGGGATTGCGATTGATGGGCGTCCTTTGTGTAGCTTCTTACAGTTTAATAGTAGGCAGAAGTAGAAGTGAAGCGGGGATTTTCTTCTTCCGCAAGAGCAGGTTAAGAGAGCGTCCTCGTGGTGGAACCGTGTATGGTAGTCTGCAAAGTCTCCGTGCTGGGAACGGGCTGCAAGGATTCGTCCAAGTGCTCCGCGGTTTATTGAGAGTAGGTCTTTGTTCTTTTCGTACGGGACCATTAGGTCAAGGTAGTGTTGCGGGGCTGTAGTATACCAGAGTTTAGCGGTTGCTCTAGTCGCCTCTGTTTTTGCTAGCCGCTTTAGGGACGCTAGAGAACAGATGCTGTCCTGAGAGGCTAGTAGGCTAGCACCCTCCTTTGCGGCCCTGTCAGCGGCCTCGTTGCCAGGCACATTCACATGCCCTGGGACCCACCGGACCTTGAGTTCCCCGGTTGGAAGGTGTGCTAGTTTTGTACGAAGAGGCCACTGACGGGCTACTTCTTTGAATTCGTCAAAGGCCCATTATGATGAGCTGATAGTGTCGCCTAGGAGTCGCTTGGCTACTTCAAGGTTGTCAAGGAACACCCAGAGGTTAGTTGAGAACCTTGCGGATGGGGCAGCAAGGGCTGCTTGTGCTCCTCGGAGGGCTGCAATAGCCTTGTTCGCCCTGTTGGGCCAGCAGTAGCCTGTAGGCCAGGTACCAGAGATCACGTGACATGTCTACTCATTTACCCAAACCACGCTTTGCTCCTCTTGTCACATTTAAATAGATCAATTGGCATTGGATGAATACAGAAGTTTTGCTATAGAAAGCATGGTAAATTGGAGTTACATTGATCGCGTATCCACACAAGACGTCTGTGACTACGTAGTGTAAGACACTTGGAAGCTTTTGAGTGCACTGGTTGTAGGTATCTTTGGGATGATGGAAATGAAAGATTTGTTGAGCCATTACAAAATGAAATTAGAAGCACTGAAAGTAAATTGAAAAGTGTGTCAGAAATAGAACTCTTGACAATCCTTGAAACTGGACAGTCTGGACTTCTTCTATCGATCGGCTTTAATAGTGATCGCCGATACTCGTAGAAAAACAGACCGCGCATCAGCCACATCTTTGATAGCCACCCGTTAGGCACGGACCGTTAAATGGCCACGCCACGCCATACACGCGTAAAAATGGAATCATCATCATCACCCGCAGCTGCAGCCGACTGGGAGACAGGTGTAAAGGGTGGTGAGCGGAAACTTTGGAATCCGAGAGAGTAAACTGGTGCCATTGTCACCCTCAACGTCCACCACTCAACTCCACAGGCCAATCTCGACGAGCTTAAAGCTTCCTTGATGGGCTCTCTCTAAGAATTGTCTCCATCACCTCTAATACTGACAAGACAACTCGCACGGTAACGCAACCTCTACACAAAATGCCCGCAAAAGGAGCGAAATCTGCGGTTGCAAAACCAAAACCAGCAGCTACCCATCTCCCTCATGGCTACGAATTTGGAGGACCGTAAGCTCACCCGCCCCTCTCTGGAGATATTCTTTAACAGTATTTACAGAATTGGTGCTTTCGCAGTCTCCTTTTTCCTTCCAGTACTCGTGTATGCGTTTACCCTGCTTTGTAACGATATCTCTGGATGCCCGGTACCTTCGACCCTCTCCCCTTCGACCTTGACAATCGAGAACCTTAAACGAGATGTTGGATGGCCCGCGAATGGAGTCTGGGGTCTGGCAAGCTGGGATGTATCTGCGAAAGTTTTGGGATACTACTTTTTGACCTTGGTCCTTCATCGAGTTTTGCCAGGAGAACATGTTGAGGGGGTTGAGCTTGCTTCTGGTGGAAAGCTAAAGTACAAGTTCAACAGTATGCTATATCTTTTGTGTGCATAGAGAAGGAATGCTAATTTATGACAGCTTGGTCTTCCTCAATGTTTACGTTTGCGATTCTGGCAGCTGGAACTGTTGCCCAAGGAGCCGACTTTCCTGTTTGGACCTTCATCTACGAGAATTATCTTCAGATCCTCACAACAAATATGATCATTGCATACTCTCTCGCAACATATGTCTATGTCAAAAGTTTTAGCGTCAAGCCAGGAAACTCCGACTTACGAGAGCTCGCATTGGGAGGACAATCCGGAAACATGATATACGATTGGTACATTGGACGAGAGCTCAACCCACGTGTTACTATCCCCTTAATTGGTGAAATTGACATCAAGGAGTTTGCTGAATTGCGTCCCGGTATGCTCGGATGGATCATTTTGAACCTGTCATCTATCGCACACCAGTACAAAACATATGGTTATATCACGGATAGTATTGCCTTCATCACCGTCATCCAAGCTGTCTATGTCATGGATTCTTGGTGGATGGAGAATGCAATCCTTACTACAATGGACATCACCACCGACGGCTTTGGTTTTATGCTTGCCTTTGGCGATCTTGTTTGGTTACCATATATCTACTCCACTCAAACACGTTATTTGTCCGTCTACCCATTGTCCCTTGGGCTCGTCGGTCTAGTACCTATCTTCGCCATCGTTGGAACTGGTTACTACATTTTCCGTAGTGCCAACAACGAGAAGAATCGATTCCGAATTAACCCCAATGATCCCCGCGTCGCACATCTCAAGTATATTGAGACAGCATCCGGCTCCAAACTTCTGGTTTCAGGCTGGTGGGGAACTGCTCGACACATCAATTACTTTGGAGACTGGATTCAAGCATTTGCATACTGTATGCCTACGGGTCTGGCAGGATACGTTGTCCAACACAGCTCCATCGCTCCTGGTTCTGGGAAATCTTTGGCGGATGGTTCGTTTGTTTATACTGGTCCATCCACCTACACCGAAGTCTTCCAAGGTGCTGCTAAAGGTTGGGGTATGATTTTTACTTACTTCTACCTTATCTACTTTGCCATCCTATTGGTTCACCGGGAGAGAAGAGATGAGGAGAAGTGTATTAGGAAGTATGGTGAGGACTGGAACAAATATACCAAAGCGGTTCCGTACCGCATCATTCCTTGCGTTTACTAGACTCTTGTCCTGGTAGGGAATTGAATGGAGAGATAGGTGGTTTGGGGACGATGAGATGTAATAAGTACAGTACTTTTGGTGTTATAATAAACGTGTCATAGCAGACAGGCGAAGGATTTCTTGTTCTCTTTCAGTTTCTCAGCTTGTGTAATCTTGAGCCTTTCTCTTTTTTTTCCCTTTTCTTTTTTTTTGCGAGATAATGAAGATATCTACCTTGTAATCGCCCTCGAGTACTGGTAGTGAGCGCATCGACATTGTAGAATAACAGGTATCATTGAATCTCATGGGTAATCCCTGACTTGACCATCCATCGCGTCGGCCGTCTGGGACTGTACTGTATTGACCCATTTTTCATTCATTATACTTTTATACTTGGATTTTATACTTTCGCTTGTCTGGCCTCTGGCCCCACTGACCCCCTTTTTTGCAACGCCGAGGAGGTGGAGGAGGAGGAGATATTGGTTGGTAGGTAGGTACTTTGTGGGATATTAGAGAGATGTGCATATACTTTCCTAATGGGAATTTGATATCCTTTTGTTTTTGGAAATTTTGACCAACAGTGAGTGGGTGAGAGGAGGCAGGGGGGGAGGGTTCGTAATATTGCTTTGAATCCTGAGATGAAATTGGGCGATGTGTAGGATTCAGAGGTAATGCACAGTACAAAGCTGTTTCTAGTTATCACTACGAGGACCTCGACGAGAAATGTTTCTACTGTTGGTTTGCCTCTTCTTCTCAACTACCCCAGCCTATTATCCCCCACTCTATGCCGTTTCACTGTCGATTCAACCGAAGGGTCCTGCTCCCAGGGTTATACAATCATATTCTATCGTCTCTTTATTTCATCAAGCTTCGCTGGGCGTAAGTTAACTTATTACTTCAAGCCTAATCCTGAATTTCAAACAAACTCTTGAAACTCTTCAAAGACATCGTACCACCTCATTTCACCCACCATTATTTACTCTCTCTTCAAATTACAGCAGGTATCTGAGTACCTCGGTGAATCGACCTGAATCATGATGCCTGCAGTGTTACCCCAGCTTTTCCTCCCCCGCATTCTCGGCTGCATTGCGGTGGTAAGATTTTGGGCAATATAGCTAGACCAACTAGTTAGGCTAGGCTAGCTACCGACGTCGCTATGGATACATATCTTATGTATGGCTGCACGTCTCGGGCAAGCACATCACATCCAACCTCTCCCTAGATTTTCTTTTCTTTTTTTGCGAGTTACGGTCACTTACTGCATATCGTGGCGTTGCTAGTTCCTCCTCGTATTTGATGCATCTGGTGACGTCGGTATTACTTGATGATGCGAGGTGGTGGTATTGAAGGGGATGGTTGGGTTGGTTGAGTGGATATGGAGGGTTGGATGTAAGCACTTGTTTGCTTTCAGAGAGAGAAATGCTGGGGAAATGGCTAGGAAATGGGAGTCGGTTACGCAGTGTCGTACTCATACTAGTGTCGTTGGATTTCTTTTGTTTGTTATTTGCGCGGGGGAGGCGGGGAGCATGAACAGGTTTCTGTCATGTACATGGTACATCTACAGTAGGCGCCTGCCTGCCTTTCTGCAATGGTACAGTACGTACCTGCCTAGGTCCTTGAACCCAACGAAAAATCGATTTGTTGCCATCATCGGGAGAGGATGCGAGTACCATCACAATTGGGACTTAGTCTTGGTATCTAGCTCATATAAGTTCTCTTTGTGCGCCTTCATGCTGTGTCACCCACCCATCCGTTTCCGTTCGCGATTATTTGGCTCCCAGGTTGTCGAGAAATTTCGTCGTTCGCGATTGCCCTGCTCACGAGACTTTGGTGTCCGAGTAAACAGCGCCGTTCTAATTACCAATTCATTCACTCTCAGTCTCAAGCAGTCTGGAAGCGGGGTTATTACCTACTATATATCCCAACCTCCTTGACGAGATTAATTAAGACATCCATCCTCCTCACATATACACTAGCTACCCGTCCCTACATTCCTCCTTCTACCCCGCCATCTGAACCACGATATCTAATCCACGTAACCAATTACCAGGACCAGCAATCAATCGATTGATCAGCGGCATCCTCCGCGTTTCCCAAGATGTTGGGTCTCCTACTCGTTGTTCTGGCGGTGTTTGGTGCCTTGGTACACGCTCAGAATGAGAGCTTGGCGTACTCACCACCGTTTTATCCGTCGCCTTGGATGAAGGGGACTGGGGAGTGGAGCGAGGCGTATGCGAAGGCAAAGGATTTTGTGAGTCAATTGACGTTGTTGGAGAAGGTCAATATTACTACTGGTATGATTTACTCCCTCCTCTCCTACCATGGGATATGAAGCTATTCCCTCCTCACTCCCCAATCACCGGAAACTAAAACCAACACCAAAAATATTAATAAAAAATCACTAATCTGTGTTTTCTTTGTAATAGGCGTAGGATGGGAAAGCGAAGGATGTGTAGGAAATACCGGATCCGTCCCTCGATTGGGTCTCAGAGCTCTGTGTATGCAAGATTCCCCCTTGGGAATCCGTTTCGCAGATTACAGCTCGGTTTTCCCTTCTGGTCAGACGGTTGCGGCGACTTTTGATCGGGGACTTTTGTATGCGAGAGGTTATGCTATGGGTAGTGAGATGAGAGATAAGGTGAGTTTCTACCCTATTTTCTATGAGTATGAGAAATGAGAGGAATTGGATTGGGGAGTTGTGCTGATGTGTTGAAGGGTATTCATGTTCAACTTGGTCCGGTTGCTGGTCCGCTTGGTCGGATGGCTGCTGGTGGGAGAAATTGGGAGGGCTTTTCGCCGGATCCTTATTTGAGTAAGTTTTGATTCTTGGAATAGAGAATTGAGAGATGGTTGCTGACTCGAGTAGCTGGTGTTGGTATTGCTGAGACTATTAAGGGTATTCAGGATACGGGTGTTATTGCTTGCGCCAAGCATTACATCGTTAATGAACAGGTGGGTGCTTATTTCAGTTTATACTCGAGGGAAAAAAGTCTAGTTTACTTGAAGGCAGTGATCTTTGGCTTTTTTCCTTGTGTTTTTGGAAGTCCTGACCACAGGAGACGCGACAACACAAATGGGAAGATCACGAAAACTCACGATCATCTTCTCAAATTCCGTGACTAACACTTCGCAGGAACACTACCGTCAAGGGGCACCAGAACAAAACATTACCGAATCCATCTCATCGAATGTCGATGATGTGACTATGCATGAGCTCTATTTGTGGCCTTTCGCAGATGCCGTCAAGGCAGGAGTGGGTAGTATTATGTGCTCATACAACCAAATCAACAACTCATACGGATGCGCTAATTCCAAGATGCTCAACAACTTGTTGAAAGATGAGTTGGGATTTCAAGGTTTCGTGATGAGTGATTGGCAAGCACAGCACACTGGAGTCGCTTCTGCAGCTGCTGGTTTGGGTGAGTGGTTCCGATTTTCGACGTGATAAAGACGAGAAAAGCTTACATATTTCCTAGATATGACTATGCCTGGAGACACGGTTTTCAGTACTGGTGTTAGCTTTTGGGGAACAAATCTGACCCTTGCCGTCCTTAATGGAACTGTTTCTCAGGCTCGCCTCGATGACATGGTCATGAGAATCATGACACCTTACTTCCATGTTGGATTCGGCTTGAATGAACCTGAGCTTAACTTCAATTCCTGGACTTTTGACACAGTCGGTCCTCGACATGCGTCGGTTGGAGCAAACATCCAGCAAATCAACTTTCACGTGGATGTTCGTCGAGACCACGATGTTCTCATCAGAAACATTGCTGCTCGAGCCACTGTTCTACTCAAGAACATTAACAACGCCCTACCTCTGAAGAAGCCAAAGTTCCTCGCCGTGATCGGTGAAGATGCTGGACCTAATCAATGGGGACCTAATGGATGTGCAGATCGTGGATGTGATAATGGAACACTCGGGATCGGATGGGGTTCAGGAACTGCCAACTTTCCATATTTGGGTTAGTCTGTCTTATAGAAGAGTTCAGTCTTGGCAAATGAGCTAACATATAATAGTCACACCCGATCAAGCATTACAAGCCCAAGCACTTCAAGACAAAACTCGATATGAGAGCATCTTTGATAACTACGCTGATGCCCAGATCAAAGCTTTGGTCTCGCAAGCAAATGTTACGGCCATAGTCTTCGTCAATGCAGACTCTGGAGAAGGATATATCAATGTTGACGGTAATGAGGGTGACCGAAATAACCTCACTCTCTGGCATTCCGGTGATGAGCTTGTCAAGAACGTTTCTTCTTATTGCCCCAACACGATTGTTGTCATTCATTCAGTTGGGCCTACCATTCTCGAATGGCATGATAATCCAAACATTACGGCAATCTTGTGGGCAGGTCTTCCTGGTCAAGAGAGTGGAAACAGTATTACGGACGTTCTATACGGAAAGATCAATCCTGCTGGTCGAACACCCTTTACCTGGGCACCAACTCGAGAGAGTTATGGCCCTGATATTCTGTATGAGGGTAATAGAGGTACAGATGCGCCACAACAAGGTTTCACAGAAGGTGTATTTATTGATTACCGTGCGCTTGATAAGACAAATACAACACCAATTTACGCCTTTGGTCATGGATTGTCGTACACAACCTTCTCTTACTCGGACCTGAAGATTACTCCAGCTGCCCCAGGACCTTACACACCAACTACTGGCATGACAGAACCGGCACCTACATTTGGTACTTACTCCAAGGATACCAAGGACTACTTATTCCCAAATGGCAGCTTCCCGTATATCCGACAGTACATTTACCCATATCTCAATAGCACCAATGCACGAGAAGCTTCTCTAGACTCAACATACGGCCAAACCGCCGATCAGTTCCTTCCACCCAACGCCCTCTCCACCGACCCTCAACCTAGACTTGCAGCAGGCGGAGGACCCGGTGGAAACCCACAACTTTGGGACGTCATGTACACAGTCACAGCAACCATCACCAACACCGGCCCATTGAATGGCGAGGAAGTACCCCAACTGTACCTGAGTCTGGGAGGAGCCAACGATCCCAAGATTATCCTGAGAGGCTTCGATCGATTGAGTATTGATTGTGGGAAGAGTGTCACGTTCACTGCTAACCTCCTCCGTCGAGATTTGAGTAATTGGGATCCTGTACAGCAGAATTGGGTCATTACCAGTGCGCCCAAGACTGTTTATGTGGGGCCTAGTAGTCGAAATTTGCCGCTGAGTGCGAGAATCTTGGGGTATTAGATGGGTGATGATAGAGGTGGAGTGGAGGTAGATTTTGCTCTTTTGATACGAGGTTGGTTGACTGTGGTGGCTTAAAGAGATGTGGGTTTGGAGTTTGGAGAACAGACCTTGAAGACTGGAGCAGACACACACAAGGAGAGAGAGAGAGCAGGGAGAGAAAAGAAAGAACTTGGCTTTTGCAGCTTGGGCTTGGGCTTGGGCTTGTTGATAATGAGGGATGGGTTGGTTGGGTGGTTGGTACATAAGACAGACACGGCACTGTACTTTTCGTACAGGTGAATAAATAATCATAATAGCAAGAAAAAGTAATTTCCCAGCAATTCAGAGTTACAGTGAGATGAAATCTTCTTTGTGTGTGAAATATATGAAATGTACCCTTCTGCGTTCCACGTTAGGTGACAAAGAAATGCCATGAAGTAATGGCGCGAAAGGTCTCTTTGTGCATTGTGGTAGTCGGGGTCGGGGAAGGAGGCGGGAGGGCTTGGACAAAGAAAGAGAAGGGTCCCTACGAGTACCTTACGAGATGTCAATGAATGGGAAGTTACTCAGCTTTCTCTACTCTCTACGGCGACTCTGGGAGATTTTTGATGTTGAATTTACATACCTCGCTGATTACTGGGGATATCACGCAGCTGTGTTTCCTTTTTTTATATTTGACGCTCGGCGATATACGAAGGACTTGCCGAGCGCGTAGGATTGAGAAATTGGAGGGAGAGGATAGGACGATTGAGATACGAAGGAGAAGGAAGAGGAGGAAGAAGAACGAGAACCTCAGAACCGAGAGAAGTTGAAAGTCCGAGCACGAAGACGCCTGAGATACGAACCAAACAAGAACGGGAAGGAGGACGAGGAAAAGAAGAAGAATAGAAAATGGCGTCACGATGGAATACCGTCTCAGAGAGTATCGCTACATGCCCCCAAAGGAAAATGGGGATTAAAGTCGGCGGTGAACGTTGGTCCTCTTTTTCGCTTAAGTTTAACATGCTTGAGTTCCCTCTGCTATACATCATCTCCCACCATCCACTTCCCACTCTTTCAATCCAACCCAATCAAAAAATATCTCTAAATGAAAGAAAACAGAACTAACCCATCAAACCCACAGGCCTAGCCCCCCAAACAGCCCACATCTTCGCCCAATCCTTCCCCCAAAACCCCGTCCTAACCTACATCCTCACGCCCCACTACCCCAATCTACGCGAACGCAAAGCCTTCTTACCACGTTACTTCCGGATCTTATGTCTCGCCGCAACATTAAACCATGGGATCTTTGTGTTGGCGGGGGAGGAGGAGAGGTTGCAGCCTTTACAACCTCTTCCTTTACGGGATGGGGAGGAAGATATGGGGAGAGAGAAAGAGATTGTTCCGGAGTGTGCGGCACTGTTACTGCCTCCGGGTGCGAAGGTTGATAGTTTGGGGACGCTGTGGAAAAGTGGGTTTTTGGGGTTGGCGTGGGATATTGGAATCAGGGGTATGTGGAGGATGGGACGGGTGCAGGGGGCGATGAGGGGGATGATTGGGGGTGCGGTGGGGGGGGATCCTTATATGAGTTCGCCTTCTTTGATACCTACTCGTTCTGGGCCTTCTTCTTTGCCTTCCATCATTCCATCTACATTCAAATCCACCAATAAATCCCAATCCGAAAATAAAGAGAGAAAAGAGGGAAAAAGATACTACCACCTCCACCAACTAGCCACCCGTCCCTCCTCCTGGGGGAAGGGGCTTAGTCTAGCGGTTCTGGAGAAAGTCAAGGAGATTGTGGAGAGAGAAGGCAGGAGGGAACCGGTTTGGTTGGAGAGGGTGATGAAGTGTTTACTTCTTGTTGTATGTAGGACTTCAGCGAAGAGTAGGAAGTGCATATCCTGAAGAGCAGGATATAACACTTAGCCACCATATATTAAGAGAGCCCGTGGCCGATCAAAACGAGGTATATCTATCTCTATCTCTACTTAATAGTTATAACATTTAATAATCCTAAAATTTATTAATACTTAACGTTATTTATTATAACTAATTATATTTAGTAAAACCTGGACTAATCAGCGTATTAATCATTCTACAAGTAACTATATAAAGCATTACCTTAACTCTCATAAGACAGTGCCTATTAGGTCTATTCTAGAGAACCCGGATATAGGTAAGTAGTTCGTCTTCTTCTTATATTATAATTTATATACTAATATATATATATTTATTTAGACATAAGTGAATCACAGTCTAGCCAAGGCTCTTTAAGTACTATAGGAAGTGCCTTTGAACGTCAAAGAGCCTCTAAAAGGCCTAGAAGTCCTGATTTTAATAAGACAGTGCCTATTAGGTCTATTCTAGAGAACCCGGATATAGGTAAGTAGTTCGTCTTCTTCTTATATTATAATTTATATACTAATATATATATATTTATTTAGAC